CCAGCAGAACGCGCCCTCACAGATCGGTGCCTTTGTGCGAACCATGTTCTGCACCTGGGTCTCAAGGCGGCAAGGCGTCACGTGCAGCCATTGCCGTGCATCGACCATGAACTTGCCTCACACAAAGTCAGCTAGGTAAGGCTCCGGCTCTCAGGTCGTTGGTGCATTCGAATTTCTCAAGCAACGAGAGACGCTGCACCAGGTCGAAGTAGCGACCTCGCGCTGCAAGCCAGGTTTCTTGACTACCCAATAACTCCCCAAACATTGATTCGGTGCCCTTATGGGCCACTACTCACTATGCACAGTATGCACACCAAGTCTCTCACCTTCAGCAGTCTCTGCAATCAGCTCCGGAGCGCCATTCTTCAGCAGCTCCTCTATGAGGACCTGATGTTTCACTTCAAAATTTCCAAACACACGTCCGCACCGGCAATCAAAAAGAACGACAGTGGCGAACTCGCAAAGAGCACATCTGCTCCGGAAAGATGCAACGAGAGGAGTAGGATCATTGGGGAACATGCTCTCTTTGCTCTTTGAGGTGAAGGTGTTTTGTTTTGTCTTGCTCGGCAGGATTCAGTCATTCGCATTGTCATTGTCAATGTTCTCCACGACAAGGGAGCGGGCATGGACTTGCTCGACTCTTGTGCAGCTTTGTCCAACGGATGTTAGGGCCTTCAGCTTGCATGTCTATGATTCGAGCGTTTGGACCAATCTGGTCCAGAATCATTTGGCCCTTTCGACAAGAAACGTAGTAGGTAAGTTGGGAAACACATGGCAGGCACTCCCTGGCTCGGATGTGCGCAGTTCTGCCCTGCAATGCGAAAGCTGAGTGTTGCAGGGTCGCCTGATACAGCACTTTGGGGGAGACTTTTCCGTGAAAGCTACACCTGCCCAGTGATGCATGCCCAGAAAAAAAATGTTGAGAATGTTCCCAATGGTTTGCCACGTGCTTTGCTGAGACCATCCGGACAAATCCTCAATTCACATTCTCTCTGAGAACTCCACTAAGGCGGCATAGATGCGACGCCATCTTCTCCCCTGGCGCTGTTAGACATGTGGAGCTGGCCATTTCTGTGGGCACTTTCACCTCACCAAAAAACAAACACAATTTGGTGTGGGCACAGACGTCGGCTGGGAGCTGCACCTGTGGCTCAGCCAAACACTCTCGAAGATGCATCATGATCTCCCGGCGCTCCTGTGGCACTGTGGCCATGTTCGCACCAAGTGAGGGATGTCTGTGCCATGTGACGACCCTCTGGATCTAAATGCAACAGGCTACGGTGCCCGGCACAGAATCATGGGAGCAGAGAAAGAAATGTCTTCTCCGCCTTTCGAACTGCGCCCCCAGCATCTTGCGGTGCAGAGCATTACCCCAGCAGGTAGAGCTCCTCTTCGCCCATGCGGGTGGCTTCCACCACCAGCGCAAGCACATCCTGGCAAGGACCAACGCTGTAACAGCTCAGGAAGATGCAGGAAGGAATACAATCCGATAGCCAGTACCAAGACAATGACGTTAGGGATAGCATGAACAACTTAATAGTTTACAAATGGGGTGTGTCACAGCAATGTCCGCAGACTAGCACAACGGTAACTGAATTCCTCCAAGCATGAGTCTTGATAGTTTCATGCATCAAGCTGTCCTTCGGGACTTCGATCACCTCGGCACCAGGCATTTGCAATGGACGGTCTTTGCAAATAGAATTTACTCATTCATTCCTTCAAGATTGCATCATGCGATGTACCGGGCGCAGCACCCAGTGGTGGTGCCTCTTGCCCAGGAATTGGGGTTGATTTAGGGTTGGCTTTAGGGTTTAGGGTTTAGGGCTTAGGGCTTAGGGTTTAAGGTTGGTTTTGTGTTGGCAGAGGGTATTTAGGATTGGCTTGCGGCTGGTTTAGGTTTTGCTTAGGGTTGGTTGAGGGTGGGTGGTGTTAGGCTTGCTTTCGGGTTGGTTTGGGGTGGGTGGTGTTAGGCTTGTTTTAGGGTTGGGTTAAGGTTGGTGTGTAGGGTAGGTTTAGGGTTAGCCCAGGGTTGATTTGGGGTGGCTGTGCTTTTTCTCCAGAGTTGCTTTAGGGTGGTTCAGGATTGGTTTTGAGTTGGCTTAGGGTCGGTTTAGGGTTTATTTAGGGTCGGTGTGGGGTTGGTTTGGGGCTGGTTTAGGGTTGGTTTAGGGTGGGGTTAGGGTGGGGTTAGGCTTGCTTCAGGGCTGGTTTAGGTTGGGCTTACGGTTGGTTTAGGGTCGGTGTATGTTTCGTTTAGGGCGGGTTTAGGGTGGCGTTATTTGATTTAGCTTGCTTCAGGGTTGGCTTAGGGCGGATTAAAGTTGGTTTAGGGTTGCTTGCTTGGTTGCTTGCTTGCTTGGTTGCTTGCTTGCCTGGTTTGGGGTTGGTTCAGGGTGGGTTTAGGGTTGGCTTGAAGGGTGGGTCGCATTCTGGCTTGCTTGCTTGCTCGCTCACTTGTTCCCCTGCTTGTCGGAACGCAATAGAACAAAAATCCCCGTTGGGGCGGAAAACAATTCCCCGCAGCTTACATTCTCTCTTCCCCTGTGCCAGAGTTACGTCTCTCATTGGCGGAAGGATTCGCAGCTGTTCAGCCACATTTGATTGGATGATATGTGGGAAAGGTTTCCCCAGCGGCAGACCGCCCAAAACTGCTCCTCTGATCCAGGCGCACAATTCCACGTCGAGACTCCCAAACTAGTCGTCTAGTTGCATCCAATGCTTGGGCCCTGGCATTGGACTCGGTGGCCCGCTGCAAGTCGGCCTGACCCAAAGTGGCATGGTTCGGGCTCGTTTTCCTCCAAAGCCACATCATTAGCATGTGGTTCATGATGTTTGCTGAGCCTTTGCCGAGGGTTGCTATTTGAGTTGATTGCTGGGTTGCGGAGTTGGGTCAGCAACTTGTTGAAACATCTTCCAACCTTTGTTGAAACGATATCGTGATTCCCCTCGAGCGGAATGCTGGCAACTAGGTAATTGAACCCCTGTGTCCAACTCTGTTGGATTTGAACAAGCCGCAGGATACATGCTATCTCTTGGTTCCGAAGCGTTCGCTAGTCAGGCCCCCACAGCGCCTGCAGCGGTGTTTGGTTGCCACCCCCAGTGAACCGTTGAAGGAAGGCTGGTGCCATGCGTTCCTCAGGCAGCACAAAGCCTTCCCAGGCAGCTGGAATGGAGTGGGTTTGTGCATGCCAGAAAGAAGCAAAACATGTGCACGCTCAAGTCTCCAACAAAGACCTGATGTCACAAGTCCTCCTGCAACGGAGTGTTTGCACCAATCGGTGCGGTGGCACTATCGTCTTCCAGACCGTTTTCACTTTTGGAAATCAGCTACACACATGCAAATCCCGATTAGCTTCCAAGTTGCTCAGCGTGCAAAAGTCAAATTGTGCTTTGCAGCCAAATGGTTGCCGGGCAAAAGCCTTGCACTGGCACTTTCATGTTGATGGGCTCTCTTTAGGTATGCCCATTGAAATTTGCAAGCTTGACACTGAGCCAATCGTGCTCGTGATCTCATGCGCATATTTTGTCGTCTGCCTCTGACAGATCTGAAGCTAACCTACGACCTAAGAGAAGGCTTCTTTTGTTCCCTCTCACCAATTGAGCGTGGCTGTGAACCGATAGTTTCAAGATCCAGCTTGCCCAAGTTGTCCTCCAGCTCGGTTCGGAACCTGAAAAAAGAAATGAGGTCGCACATCAACAGCGGTGTCTGCAATACCCGATTGATGCTGGTAACTCAAAAACAAGGATGTTGTGAAAGAACCACCAGAACACCGACATCATTTGAGATAATGCCCAAAGACCAAGATGACCAAACCAAAGCCAAGGTTTCACGTGCTGGTTGAAGCCTTGCACGTTAAGGTCGCTGCTTTTCCCGCCACTCCGGCAATTTCAAGGGCTTGCGAGGACGATCGCTGACTGGCGCGAAAGCTGCCACCAATCACATCCGGCACTGGGAAGGCTTGGCCGGCCTGGAAAATCTGCCCAAATGAATTGGCCTGTGAGGAAGCCTGGGCACGTCAGGAAACTGATAGTGGTTTCATTGATGCAGCTTGGCAAATGTCATAGACGATTTTTTTGCTAGCCACCTTCCGACCGCCTCACCGCCTGATTTCCTGTCCTTCCCATGAACCTCGGGCCCTCACGGTCTGCATCCAATTGGAGCATCAGCCCTAGCTGTCGAAGCAGGTACCTCTACAGAAAGAATGGAAGGTAAAGTGAAAGGCTACATCACTCGACTCTCCATGTTCTGCAAACTGCTTAAGCAAATGGCTGCAGAATCACAGGCTTTCTCGCGCTCGAAGCTGATCAAACTTGTGGCTTGAGTTGCGGTTGAAACAGCTGGTTTGCAAGCGGCTAGTTCAACTAGTGAGTACTCGCCACATGCAAATGTGTGCCTCAAATTTGGCACTGGAAGGCACTTGGTCAGGCGCGTCAAGCCCCGGTGGTCTTTCTTGACCTCGCAGCACTGTGTCCACATCCTCTGCCAATCCAAAAAGCTCTAAGCTTCTGGCCGACCCAGAGTACATGTTAGCCCAAAGGCATTGCTGAACGCGCGCTGGCAGGACATCCGGCCTTGGGCAAATGCGATGCATGCCTTGTGCAAATGGTGCGCAGCAAAGAGAATAGCAAAGCTTGCAGAGCGCCCTGCCTCTCAAGAGCTTTGTCCATGGCAATGCAGGCACCCAGCATGTACCTGCAAGACCAACATACTCACACACACCTTCAGCCCAGGAGCAGGGCACTCTTGCACATTCTGCAGCTCCGCATCGAATCTATACTCAGGCACCCTCTTGAGGACTAGCCATGACCTGCAGAGCTCACTCTCTCGATGCTCCACAGCTTCAACGCAGCGCTATGCCAAGGTCCGTGCCTGGTGAGATTCCAGCAATGCTCGAACAATTCCTCGTCCAGCTTCTTTGCCTGCCCCGAAGGAACTGTGGCCTAGACCCTTAAAGTCAAAACTTGGGAGCAAAAAATTGGCTCTGATGTTGTGGATGATACTCGCATTTAGGGTCAAGGTCGCGGGTGCAAATGAGCATCCCTTCAGCGCACATGTTGCATCTGCAAGCGCCCTTTTGCTCTCAGAGCGGACATGAATGCCGTGCAGGTCACCGAATTTGCCACTTGTCATCTCTCGGGTAGACCATTGGTGCTTGCACATGGCGCAGCGATTCAATTCACTGAGTCTCTCCTAAGCGATGTCCATCTCCGGCGAACACCGAGAATCTGTCCCTGGCAGGACTCTGCTATTCAAGAAATACACCCAATTTCAAAAACCGCTCAATCTGTGCAAAGTATCCTTGCAAAACATGAATGACCGTTGATCATTGGGACAGAGCTCTTCAACACATGTGGTGCTTGCCAAGAAAAAGGCTCATCTTGGGATTCAGGTGGGTTCAGGTAGGTTCACAACAATTCACCCAGAAGCCGTCTGCATCTGTCCAACATGATGGCTGTTGCAGCTTCTTGCGACTAGCTTGAGCCTGCTCCAGCCGCCAGCTGGGGCTGCACCAGAAGGGCGTCCCCAGTTGGTGTTTGTCTCCTCCCGCTGGGCCACCTGGGGCCTAGGTTCATCGGCCACGAGAGGATCTACAAATGGGTGCAGGACATCGGAAAACCGAAACAATGCTGACGGCAAGGTCAAAGCCACTCAAAACGAGTATCAAGCAGCGACCACTGAATGCGCAAAAGGCACAAGCGCAAACTGGGCCCCAAACCCCAGGAAGGAAGGCCACCAGTCAGCTCCCATGACACGAACGAAGCAGGTGTCCTGCGGGGTTCACTTCTCAAACAAACATGCCGTGGTAGTCCCATGGGTTTTCGTTTTCAGCCGGCCGTAGGGTCATCTCGGTGCGTTTGCCATTGGACTCCGCCAGCCTGCGGGCCCGCACCGACATGTCCAGCCGCGATGGCGTTGACCTCTTTGCAGAACTGCCACCTGGAGGTGCCAAGTTGGGACGCACGTGTCACAGCCGACAACGCGCGCGGCGGAAGCTAATTGCGCAAGGAGTGCCCACAATAGGCGCCGAAAAGGGCAATGGAGGGAGGCACGATCGCCTTGCAGCAGGGTGGTGTCGCTGAAGCATGAAGTCCAGGTTTGCACTGTTATGGAACGATATTCCCCGATTCGATTTATAGATCTAGATCTATCATTTGGCAATTCCGTTGCTAACTCAAAAACATCCTAGCCATTGAATGCCATTGATTCTAGGAGCCACGCAAGGAGCGGAAGAAAGTGAACCGGCACGCCCTGACTGCTCAGAATTGCATGGGTTCAGCATCGCTAGCTGTCGCCAGTCCTGGTAGCCCTGGAGGATTTGGAGTAGGGCTAACAGCCTCAGCTGCTGTTCGACTCGCTTGGAGCCCTCCAAATAGAAGTCTCAGGCAGAATATGTATCCACTGTCAATCATGACTCTTTCCACGCCGTGTTGTGGGAAGTGACTGTTGCTGTGTGCAAGCACAGTGCTGAGGGCCGCACCCATTGAACCCGCAGCAAATGATGTAAGTAGGAAAGAAGCGCTGTCCTGGAACCATTCGCAAAGAACAGCGTCAATGCCCTTTCCCTTGAAAAACACAAGTGGGGCTGCCCGGCATGAATCAAGAACGCAAAAGAATGTGATGCTGCTCCTAGGACAAACAATGAAATCTTGAGTCAGCTGCAACACCTCATCAACACTGCCGCAAGCATGGTAGGCACTAATAGCTCAGATGCCTCAAAGCATGGCTGTGAGTCGACCTTTGGCCATCAAAACGACCGGTTACAAAAAGCCCAAAGAGAGTCACGCCGCCTTCAGGCTGAATAGCATAGGTGCCCATGGCACACAGCACCCCGTCGTACCTGCGAGGGCCCGGATTGTTGAATATGTTGCTCTGACACTATCATCACATACTTGAAATCAGCACCTTGCAAAGCAAAAGAATACTCTTGCTGTCTCGGGGTCGCCATTCTGCACATCAAACCAATGCAATTGTGTTCCAACCACGCAGTGATGAAGCGCGGAAAAAGATCTACAAGAGCCAGTGTTGCAACCTCATGGGTTGTCTGGGTTGTGGCGCTTGCAGCGATCGCGTGGATCTGGTGCAATACGCCCATCAGCAGTTCAAAAAGAGACCAAAAGAAAGGAGAAAAATCATATTTGCAAGGGTCTGCATTCGACCGACACACACACACACAAGCAAGCAAACAAACAAGTAAGCAACCACACAATCAGACAAGCAAACAAGAAAGCAAGCACGCAATCAAGCAAACAAGCAAGCAAACAAAACGATTGAAAACAAGGCGTTGGGGTCGTTCCTTTAACGGCCCTTTGGCGGCAACTGGGCCCGCTTGTGTTACAATGCTGTTTTCCCAATCTCTGGGCCAGCTTTAAGATTCCGGAGCTGCAAAGCGGTGAGTTCCTCCCATGTCAGCCAGCACATCGACACCCCCAAAAATGAGGTCATCTGTCATGGCCAAAGCCAGAAACATTGCGAAACGACGAGTCATCGGTCGCACAAACCACCAACGAGATCCCCTCGAGAGAGCTTCAGCAAAGTGAGGATGCCCTGCGTGTAGACCTGAATTGAAATCAAGGTCTTACCTTCACATCCGAGGGTGCGGAAGTTCCCAAAAATGGGGAGGGATCTTCAGGTTGGAGACAAAACTACATTGAGAATAGATGTCACTCCCTTCATAAGCGTCTCGCCAAATTGGTTGCCGAATTGGTTGACTCTTAATGATACGGTATGATGGCATTCCTGCTTGTCTGGCCGCAAACGATGCCAGTGCTAAGTGAAAGGACTAATATAGCTGTTTTCTGCTTGGCCCGACAAATGCAAAGTCCTTGCGGAGCACTCAAGCACTCAAAGCAATTGTTTGGGTTACTCAGACGATACCTTGTCTTTGGAGGGGTCAACAAGAAAGTCGAAACTAAGCCCAAGTAACCAATTCGATTCAGCCAAACCCAGTCAACCCTGCCAAACCAGACCCAATCAGCCCCGCCCAACCCAAACCCACCCAACCCCGCCCAAACCCCAACCAACACAAGTAATCCAGCCAGTCTGATCATCCAGGCAATGGCGACAAATCGATTGAACCCTAGCACAGAAAAGATGGGCTGATATCACTGACGTTGGGATCACGCCAGAATGCGATGGGTCTTAGAGTCGTAGGGGAGCGGATGTTTGTTTTGTTTCTTCTGATTAATCATAAATAGACAAAACGAGACGGGCTACCCTCTTTCCCGTCAACTGAGGCCCCAGCTGTGATGACCACCCCGCGATGGAAAGCCTGGGCAGCTCGGTTAAAACACACGCCCAAACCCTTCACCCAGAATCGATCCCACATTGACACCCCGTTTGGGTGACCCGTTGAATGGGTCTCAACAAATGGCTTTCTTTCTGCTTCACCCATAGTTGGTCTTTGGGTGCAAGCTGGAATTCATTGAACCCCTTTAGAGTTCTGCGACCCTCGCATCAACTCCTTGGCCAAGGTGCTCGGGCTCGCTTGTTGGCAAGCCAACTGTCGGAGGAGACCTGCATCTGATACAGTCAGACTCAGTGCAGTCCGCTCGAAAACGCGAGCCCAGGCCGGCCTGTGGCACGGAGAAGGGCACTGCTATGGGCAACTCAGTCGAAGCAAATTGACACATCTGCTGAGCTCAGGAGGCCGAGAATGCTGTTTGTCGTAAACAAATCCTCAGTGCCCCGCGCAAGCCATGGCGACGCCCCCTCCTGATGGTGGTTGCTAGCGACCCAGAAATAATGTTCAGGGCCCCAGCTGGGGTGCAGCGAGCTGCTAGTGACTCGACACTTCAGAATGACAACTCACTCGCACTCTCCCCACCCACGGAGCAAAGCACTCCTGACAGCAACCCGGCATGTGCCGCAACTGCAGCGGGATAAAAGGCCTAAGCAATCACATCAACACCATCTCTGAACAGGAACCCAGGGGTTGCTTTCTTGGCCCCCTCCAAGCTGGTTGATCCGAGCTGCGCCAACCCCTTCCAGGACCCCGTCGAGTCGGCCTTGGGGTTTGCAAAGCGCCGATCCACAGGCTTGAGGACTCTGAGGCCTGATCTGAGCGTCTCGGGCGATTCCTGCCCATCGTTGGAATGTCAGGGAGATCAAACAAAACAAATCTGCAATCTTGCGATGTCCATTCTATCGCATGGGCGATATGTGTTGCGCATTGTGACTCGCAACCAAACGTTCCTGGCAAGTCTATGCCAGTTTTGACCGAAACGGAAATTGTGATTCCATGTTTCCCGTACTTGATGTATTACAACTCAGCGCCAAACAAAATGCAATACATGTGCAACGATATATTCTGTATCGAACAACTTAGTCAGTCACGTTGACATGGGCATGAGCAAATTAGGGACTCCTTTGGCAAACGAAAAACACAAATAGAAAGCCCACCATTTGTAGGGGTTGGATGTGCAACTACACGCTTGAAGTGTGGTACCTTCAAACCTTCCAACATATCCCAAACTCACTTGCAGTTCACAAGCCCAGAACGTGATCATGTTGTTCAGTCAACTCCCTTACCACCACATGCCAGCACCGGCGCCGGGGGGGTTGGGTGTCTTGTACAAAGCACTTTTTTAGAGCCGGATGATACGCGCTTCTTATAACTAGAGATTGGTGGTGCACATCGAGCCTCCATCGGGCGCAAAAGAAGGGCGATAAGTGCGGTTGGCGCGAATCCAGTGTTCACGTTGCTTTGCAGGACAGGCAAAATGGCCAAGTGCAGCCAGTGAATATCATTCAACTATCCTCTCGTAAGCGTCATGTTGTTTGTGGTCATTGCAAGCAAACGTGCTGTGGAAATTTGCAAGCGGCATGCCATGGGCCTTCTCTTCTTCAACGTCGCCCTCGCCTGAGGTGTTTTGAGTTTGGTCAGTGTCATGTGTTTATTGCCCTGAACACCACCCACTCCAGCAATAAGTTGGCATGTGCCAAGCCCCGGACAAATGGAAGCCACCTGCTCCAGAAGCTGTGCCAGAGAGAACACAAACAATTCATTTGCTGGTATCATGATATGAGGTGTCAAATGCTTAGAGTTCAATCTTCTGACAAACACAAACATGGCATTCATGCTGTTGGAAGTCATTGCGATTATGTGCATGATTTGGGGACTGTGTACAACCTTCGATCCACAGCGTATTGGACTGAACCATTGCTAGAAGAATGCAACTCCACTTTGTAACATACTGCCGTTGCTCAACTGTGTGGTTTAGCCCATGGAACTAGTCCGGCACGAAGTGCGTTCTATGTCAATGGTGCCATGCGCAAAGAATTATGTCAAACATGACCTCGTGGAGAAAGATCAAACAATGTCCCTTCTCAAATAAGCAAAACAATCGTGCTAGGGGTGGATACATAAAACATGGCACAGTCTTCAAATAATGAGGCAAACATAATTGTTCAAACCATCATGTGAGTCTTGGCCATGAATGGACCTTTGCAAACTCGGCCTTTCCGCAACGAGTTGTGAGGGCAGCAAAGTGTCAAAGATTGACCACTTTCAATGTGAAGATATATTCGATCATGCAAAAGCCTCCACCAACTGCAACGGCTTGCCGAAAAGGAAGTCCACATAGGTCCTGCATACACCGGGCGAGTTTGTGTGTGTATGTCTTGTGCAGAACCCCTAGTTGGTGGGTGACGACATGCACCCTGGCAATATGTCCGCTTTCTTTGCCGACCAACTATGTGTCAATCATGTTTCAACACTAGCCAATCAAAGCAACAGGAAAGGCATGCCTTTGTTTCTTAGAATTGGTCATGTCTGTGCCTCTGCCTTCAACAAAAATCATTTGGCAGGATCTCAAATCATCAGCAACGGAAAGGCCCTTAAGGCTGTGGGTCAGAACTAAGGTTCCCTCCACTACCTTTAGGTCTCATTAGATTCGTTGCTACAGAAATTCGAAACAAAGAGAACAATCCGTGAGTTTGACACAACCCACACATTGTTCCAATCTCCCAAATGGCGCGCCTGGTTCGAGTAGGCCGAGCAGTGCCTTTGGGTGACGTGGGTTTGGGGTTCCTTGTTCGGGCTTCTTGTGGGTAAAATATCACGTTGCCGTCACGTGTTTGTTTCTGCAGAATTGATGTTTGCATCGAAATCTGGCATCAAATGCTGAGGTAGAACAACGCTGGAACAACCAGGCTCGGAGTACATGGTAGTTTTGTATTTCAGTACAACCCCAAAAACGTGTTGATGCCAAGGCACTCAGAACTGCCATGACGGGCAAGCGGGTGAAGCGGAGCCCCGAATCGGCAGACAGTATCGGAGCAAACAAGTGTGATGCTCTTCAATGCAATGCCTATGCCTGGAGGCTTGCGTTTCAGTACTCTTTGAAAATAAAACACTCAAAGCCCAGAACTGAACAGAAATGAGCGTCGCTGGTTCTGGTCATCAAGAAGGGCACAAAGCCTCTTGTCTTGCTCTGAGCCAAAAAGTGCAAGGCTCGCGCTTTGCCTGCGCAAAGATTCTGCCAATTTTTTGCACTGCAAATTCAACGGCTGCATCCAAGGCCTGAGAGCCCTCAAGGACGAGCCGCTGGTGCAGCAGCCACGCATGCAGAATCATAAAGTATGCCTGCGGTCCCTTTCTTGCATTTCGTTCATGGTAGCATGGAGGTGAGGAAGTGTTGAAAATGATGCATCTTGGGCACCCGTCAGCATGTCACTTGAAAGTGTGTTGTTGACACACGCACACAGAACCCCATCCTGCATGTTGAAGCCAGCATCAATGCCAAAAGCTGCAAGGAGTGGTTCGTTGTCAAGCCGCTCCAAAATCAGCTTGTGATATCTGGCGACCTGGCCGACATGCTGAATAATGTTCCATGATGATGACCGAAAGCACGAAACGATAGATGCGCTCGCTTGTTTGATTAGATACATACATGTGATCTCGGATCGCTGCGATTGGTTGATCCCTGCTAAGCAATATTGTGCTAGCACGAGTTGCAAACAACTGGGGGGCTGGCTGCGAGTTTCCTCGATCGGAAGGGATCAAACACTTGATGTGCCAACCTCACAGCATTTCCAGGCAAACTCGATTCACATTGATTCACCAGGCACACATCACTTTTCCACAGATTCCAAAAACAAAACAAGACATTGGCCTCCGAGGATGCCATACAGGCAAATCGCCAATCTCGTCTTCATGATCGACCACGTAGCGCTGTGCCTGTCTTTTAAAACATACCACTCCGTATGTTTGAGTTTCATTTGTTTTGCTCACGGCCTCTTCTGGACGCAGCTCGCACACTGGATCCTTCCGCACCGTTGCTGAAACCTTGCCAAACTGGTACTAGGTACTGGCCTGCATGATGGTCATGGACATGGCCCGGAGGTGCAGAATGTCCTGCCCGGCCATTCAATTCGATGTCTTGCCATGCACAACGTCTGATGGTTCCTCTGGCATCAGCTGCTTTTCGAACTCGGTGCTTGTGGCGAATGGCCTGCGCGGGCCAAGATGGAGCACACCTCGGCTGAGGATTGTCACGCCAACACGCACGAGAATTTGATGCGAGCAAAGTGTGCTATGCGAATCATGCAGGGTCGTACCCATCATTTGGCAGGTGTCATTCCAAAAAAATGTAATTGCGCAGCCCAAGCGTCTTTGGCATCCAGAAAGCCCAGCAAATGCGCCTGTCAGTGAAAGAGTTTTTCTTTGTTTGAGACACATCGTCACGTTGAAATTGATAATCCAACCATCTGAAGACCCTGGGTGCCGCAACCATTGAGAATGCTGACGTTGTGAAATTCCACAATGAACGTACTCATGGGAATGATTTGCTGGTGCAATTTTGACCCGAGCCCGCCACTGCACGTTCGTTGAGGTTTCCAGCCACGCTGTGCAACCTGCCGGCAAAGCCCGGCAAAGGCTTCGGATTAATGACATGCAAATCTCGGTAAGTGTTTGTTGCAAAACTCGAAACCTGGAAAACCGCACGAGCGGGGACTCTCATGGCGGCACAAGCGTGCAAGCAAAATGCAAGCCCTGCTGATGTGGACTTAAAAGAACCTGCATGATTGTTCAACTCAAAATGCGGCCATACTTTCAGGCAATGTATTGACTATCATTGATTATTTTTGATGCTGCATTGCGGGCCTTGGATTTTTGGATGCCCAGGCGTGGGTGACAATGGTGTTTGTGTCTTTTCCATATATTTGTATGTGATTTGAGTATTTTGATCAGCTGAATCACGGACGACAGTATGACATCCGCCTCGTCGCAAAGTGTGCAATACAATTCAGGTTGGCTCTCGCATTTAATGCACGCCCTGCCCCCCCCCCTCCGGCCAAACTATGTTTGCTGCACACAAACTCTGCGGAGGGATCGCAACGCATTTTTGTCCTCTGGTCATGTGTAGCAACAAAGCGTTTGTTTGTTGATGGGCCAACAAGCGACGGCAACCAAGTCGCGATGTGCATGTTCAACATAACCAGCCGTATCCGATGGCCCCCTGCTCTCGGCTCTACGCGTCGTGCACCGAAAACCTGGGTCCATCTATCGTGGTCCCCACACGCACCCTGGCGGAAGATCGTTCGATAACTAAAATACATTTTGAGGCAGCTTGAGGCCCTGCGGGGCAACCTCCGCGGGTACTTGCCGCTCCTTTCAGGAGAGGCAATCAAGCTCTTGCCTTCAACAACAAGCGCACACTCCTGTGAAGGGAATGATCCAACCTTGCACTATTGCACTTACATGTTGTTTTTGCCGCGGCCAATGTGCACTGTACAGCCTTGAAAACCAGGATTCGCCATGCAAAGGTTTGCTCTACAATCTCTGCGCAAACCCAGTATTTTCCGCAGTGGAATGCGTCTGCGCCTGCGCCCGAGCTTCTTCAGCCCTTGCCCTCCCCATCATGGTCGGCGACACAGCTGCGTGTCTGGAGGCCACCTCTGCTGCACCTGCAGGTTTTTGAGAATGGCGGCATTGAGCCCCTGGTCATGTGGCATGATGTGGCATGATGTGGCATGATGTGGCATGATGTGGCGTGATGTGGCGTGATGTGGCATGATGTGGCATGATGTGGCATGTCACATTTGCAACCGCTAATTGCGCTTTCAGCCTTGTGCTGCCGTTGCAGCGGTGCGCCGGAGCGAAGAAGCCGCCGCGGCTGCAGCGGTCATGGCCATATCCAAAGGCCCAGGGACATCGAAGACTTTGGAGGGCTTGGCGTCGATGATGCAGAACGCAAATTGGCCGCAAAGGGGACAGGATGCACCCTCCGAGCCCTCTGCGTGAAAGCCACGCGCGGGACCTGATGGGCCTGTGCCGCGTAGGAGGTCTTCTGCACAGTTCAGGCACAGGCAAAGGTGGCTGCAGGGAAAGCAAACGTGAGTTGCTGGCCGCTGGCAGTTGCAGCAGCTAGTGGCAGTGGGGCTGGCATCCTTCAGCCACTTTGCGAGACTTCCAGCCTGGGAGGCACGCCGAGTCAGGCCACATCAAGCCCAAATAAATGCAAAACCACAGCTTGATGGCGGCTCATGGCAATTGCATGGGATTGCCTCCGGCGTAGCCTGATCGAAGTTTGCCGAGCGGCGCCCTTTTCGACAACTTTGGCCACACGCCCCGCGACTCCACGGCGGCGCTTGCGGCGCCTGGCGCCTGGTGCTTGCGACTAGGATCAAGGCAGCGTGGGGCAATACATTCCTGCGATCTGCTTGGTGTTCTGCTTTCAGGGAGGTCACCCCAAAAAATGATTGAGTTTAGTTAGGCTCACAGTTGCTCAAAAGGCATTGTCAAATCACATGTTTTCGTGAGAAGCCGAATGGGAGCAAGTGACCCAAGGACGCAGGATAATATTGCTTGCACCTGCATTCCCCTGGCCGCTCGTCTCCAGCTCGCCGGTGAGCAAATTGAAGCGGCGCAGGCCGGGGTTGGCGGAATCCTCCTCCTGCGCCTCGACCTGAGGGCGCTTCAAACTGAGCTTTTGAAGGGCGGCGCGTGTTACTCAAAAGCAGGGAACGGTCAGGCTGTTGTATGATTACAAAATGAACCCAAAGTGGAACCCGGAGCTGCCTTCTGTTCTGATTTCCTCTTGGAAGCAAATGGAAGCAACCAGTTGCCATTGCTTCTTGAGGTTGTTTGGTGCTTGCAAGGTGGTTCGGTTGTTTATGAAGTATTGCCTGACAAGCGCCTCGGGTTCTTCCTCTTCGTCGCTCTCAGGTGCAGAGGGCGCCAGGAAATAGGTGCAAGCCAGCCCGCAAAGGGAGCCGAAGCATCCCAGCGCCAGAATCATAAACATCGCCCGCTCCTGAGCCGAAATCAATCAGAACAAGCATGCGCTGCAAAGACCCGTGGGCCATGCGCATTCCATGCCTTCCCTTTTTCTTTAGAACTGAGGTAGCGGATGTCTCCATTCACTGGAGCCCAAGCACGTGTGAAGCCAAGCTTCGTCGTCCGAGAGCTTGGCCCAGAAGGTGAGGTTCATGAAGGCCCCCCGGGAGTCCAGGCTGACGTGCGGGCAAATGGAGGTGAAGTTCTCCAGGTTCAAAGGCGGGCCCACCTTGGCCAAGAGATTGGCCAAGCTCGCCGCGGAAGGTGTGCCAAAAACGACGGCCCCGCAAATGCCCAAGAACATCCAAGAACAAATCCTGCGATGGCTCCTGGCCTGGAACTTCATACTGTCAGCATCGCTGTCCGCCGGCAGCAGCAGCTCCCAGATCCCATGGGTGCCGCAGCGGATGGTCTTCGTGTCTTGGCCGCAGGAGAGGCGCAGCAGCGAACCCGCCCGCAGACCCCCACCGCTGTCCACCACCAGGTGCTGGTGCAACGGCCAGCTGGGGCAGTCTGCAAAGCACTTCCTCACTCACCCCTCTTTACGTGGGAGGCCCAGGGGGTCAAGAGCCCTTCCGTCCAACTCCAGCACAATACAAACTTTGATCTGTGCACGCCACGTTCGCAGCTGACTGGCGCAGGATCATTAAGGCAAGGCTCAAATCCAGATCTGTCCAAATTCCATCGACGCACTCCTCAAACGCACAAGGAAGGCTCAAGGAAATCTCAGAAAGCACGCGGAGAATCTCATCCGCCCAGGCGCCGACTCCACAATCAAATCATTTGGGGTCACTCGTCTTTCAGTGCCCGAGCTCCAGCCTGGCATCCGTTCAAATCGCTGCAACAAAGCCCCGCCACGGGCGCCTTCATGGGAGGCATTCGGGCTCAGAAGCGGAAGCGCAGAGAAGCCTGGCGTCAACTGCCCGGTCAGCATCACACGCATCACACGCATCACTTGCTTTACCCGCCTCGCGCGCAGGTTGCCAGAAGCTGAGTACCATGAGGTACGCTGCGGTTTCCTTGTGGGGCCAGAGCTCCTGGTATAATCACCTCAGGGTACCATGAGGGCGACGCTTTCGAACTTTTCCGCTTCCCAATGCTATGCCGGGGCAAACAGCTCATCCACAATCTGCTCCCTGGAGACTTGCAAATCAGCAAGTGGCTCTCAGATGCGCTCAGATGCTCTCAGCTGGACACACCCTGAAAAGCGGAAGGCAAATGTTGCTCTGTCAAATGACTTGTTTGTTTTGTGATGCTTAATGTAGGGTTGGTTTAGGTGTTAGGGGTTAGGTCAACTTGGCTCGGCTCGGGTTTGATTGTTAACCAGGTCAGGCCTGAGGAGCACCGAGAAGGAAACCACAGAGGTGGAAAAGGCAGAAAAGCGAAAGAGCGGCAAACATCAGCAAAAGGCAAAAAGTGGAAAAGCAGGAAAGTCGAAAACATGAATCGCCAAAAAAATAAAAAGCTCAAATGATATCCCCAACAGCATGCGGTGCTTTTGTTTGTGCTCGCACCACCCCGCAGCGCTAGCAGAACCTCGCGAACCCTTTCATTTGTGCTTTTGTGCATCTCTTTTTCCACAACAGGGGGTCTCAGCCCAGATAGGCTCCGGGGTGTTCAGGGGCGGGTCTGAGATAAGGTTCCACGAGGGTTCCACCAGGGTTCCACGAGGGCTCCATGAAAAGATAGCACATTCTGCAAGCAGCCAAGCAGCTCTGCAAACACACACACACACAATTCACACATCCATGCTGAGTCTGGAAGCACGGCATTGGGCCGGAACCAGTCTACTGCCCAAACAGGAGCCAAAAGCTATCGCACACAGAAACTTCATTCAGAACAAAGGCTGCCCTTGTAGTGTTGCCAACGTTATCCTCATCAAGGACATGCCATGCCTCATTCCAAGAGTGGAACCAAAGCCCATGGAAACTGTGCAAAAGCCACCAAACGTACAGAAGCCCCAGGCAACCCCAGGCAAGCAAGCGAAGCTGCGCCAACGAGTGGCAGAATACTCCGGCCCGGGGAGGAAGGCTTCGCAATCACTGAAACAGCGTAGCTCGGATGGAATCCACCGACCGTTGTCACAGGTCACCTGAGATCGGGCAGCGCCTGATGCGTCGCGGTTTGTGCTGCATGCCTCAACTACGAGATACTTTTCTTGGGCCACTTGGGGCAACCCTAGGGGGCACTAAATGCATTTATCATTGACAAAGGCCAGCGGCACAAGACTAGCACCTTAGCGTCAGCCCGGCAACCTCTCCACGTTTCATGGCACGCTCGCCGGGATCTGCCGCCTCGTCAAGCTTGCCTAGGGCGGCCAGAAGGAATTGATGCACTTAAGAGACTTTATGCACAGCTCAACTGCCAAGCCAAGCTGCACCCAATAATGATCTTGCTGCCTCAACTGACAATGCAAATGCAACTGCCAACTGCCCTTACCACACACGCCGAATTCCTGACCAGTGGCCGTGTGGTGCATCAGGCTCTCCGGAGGAGGGCGATGGCTCACCCTCTCCGTTGGGCCGCGACATGTCCATGATGACGCGGAAGCCTCGCAGCTTTGCAGCCCTGGGCCCAACCGTGCCATGAACACCAATCTCGTCCAGGCAGCGGGACAACTCCAGGCTGGTGGCATTGAATGGCTTGCAGTCTTTGGCGCAGAAGAGCGACAGCGAGCTCCATTGCCCATCGAAACCTGGGCTCACAACCTGCAAGTATGACCTGAGGACACACGTGCCCATGGGCCAAGTTGCATTCAAGCCTTTCAACGGCTCCAGGAACGCGTCCGTAGCCATCCACGCATCGGATTCCGATTGAGGTGCCTAAGGCTACGTCAGCTAAGTGTGGCATGTATTGTGTTGTTTTTTCAACGAACAGCCTCAAGTACGACCAGGATGCCATGCACCACACCAGTCACATTGAGCTGCATGCGCCGAAGCCGATCCTTGCACATCGACAAGAGTGATAAATGGCAGCTGCTCTGGCTCGAAGGACGACCCCCTGCTGGCCAAGACTCTCCACCTCCACCACTGTCGGAGCTCGTGTCCTCCGTGAGTGAGATTGCAAACGCATGCCATGCCCAACTTGCACAATACTGCACGGGAAGTAGCTTTCCAGCTTTTGGGCTGGGAGTTGAAAGAAAACCCTGACCCCTTCCCGCAGGAAACCGCTTCCTGTCCAAAGCTGATTATGCTGTGCAAGTCCGCGTCACCTTAGCTCGTCGTTCAGTTGCCAGGCTCATCCCTTCCCATCGACACTTCATCCTCAATGTGGTGCCTTCTATGTTGCTGCAGGTCCGGTATCAGTGGGATACTGTCAGCCAGCTGCAAAGCACTCCATGCAAACAGGCGGCCCACCACCTCGTAGCCTTCTGACAGTCTGTACCGCGGGCAGTCGGCTTTGCAATCCTGGGCTCCAAAGCCGAGATCGCGCAACTGGTTTGGGTGAGCACGAGTGAATCGAGTGACTCCCTGGCCACATTCCGAGACACAACAAGCCTGGAGTCAGTCCAAAAGGCCTGACTCACCCTTATGAAACTGAAGGACTTGAGGCATCTTGAGGCCACCCACCCTGCTCATTCCAGCCAAGCCGTCTGCCCAAACCTGAAACGAGGCTCTGGGATGTCCAGGAGTCCGCTCCAGCTTCCTTCCACCTTGGAGAGGGAGGGGCAATAGCAGGAGCAGCCGGCCAACAGCCAGGTCACAATTTCGGCCAGGCTTGGCCCCGCGCACATTCAAGCTTCACCGGCTGCTTCCCGGAGGAAGCAAAGCCTGGCGAGCGACAAAATGCAAACACAGGGCCTGTGGTTTCAGTATCCCTGCCTGGGGCACAGGTGATGTGCCACCTGCAGCTGGGCATGGCTTAAATCTTTGAGGCACCTGCTTTGGAACTGTTGGGCCCATCATTGTCAACTCTGACCCGGATCAATTCAAACTGCCCTAGCGCAGCTTGAAGCACTGTGCCTCCTTGCAGGGTCTGAGGCGGCCACACCGACCCCCGCTGTACAATGTTGTCCCCGCTGGTGCCATTGATTTGGCTCACCGCCTCGGCACGTGACGTTCACCCAATTCCCCTCCACCTATCACGCACACGCACAAAGATGAGGGTCCGCAGATGTGAACTGAGCTCCCAACATAGGCGCTGCTCAACTCTGGGGTCAGGCAGTCGCCAGTGCACACCAAGGAGGGTGTGGTCCAGCTCCCGTCCTGAGGAAATACGCCCAACGAAACGGCCCAGCTTCCTTATTGCTCTGTCCTGGCATATCACTGACGCCGACGCCGGTGCCTCCACTGAGTTTTGGTCCGTCTCACCTGGTTCACCGCCAACTTCTATTGCAACTTCTTTCATGTACATTGGCGCCTTTGGTGACTTTTGGTTTGAGGGGTAAGGCAGGCGCTGCGCTTGCAGGTAACCTGTCGCGTGGATCCGTGCTGGTTGCCCGATCCTCAACTCCGACACGGACATGGTCACCAGTCGCCCTGCCCCTATATCTCAGCTCGGTGCCGTGGACTTCATACCTGAGCGCGTGCGGAATCCCTCAACTTTCGGAACAGAAAACAAATGTCAGGTTTGGGCGCCCGTCAAAGCCGACCTTAAACCGTGGGACACCTACCTTGCCCAAGGGGCTTCCAGGAGGCTGCCACGAAGGCAGGGCAGCTCTTGCCACAGGACACAGCCAGGGGCGTCCACTCCCCGTCCTAGCGCTGGGCTTCTTAACAGACAGGGGTGCCTTTCCTTGCTTTTTTGGAAGGACACAGAGGAATCACAAAGGCCCATAGCAGGCACCGTAGGATGCAAGAAACAGCTGCCTGGCTGACTAGTTTTGCTGAAATCTCTTGAGGATACATGTGTTGTTGCCTGAACTTGCTGCGCAAAGAGTCTGCGCTCAGTTCAAGATGGCTTTGTCAAGGATAGATAAGTGAGCTCCACAATTGGATGGGGGTGCGCAAAACAGGGCCTAAACAAACGTCGAAATAGACCCAAGGTCCCCTGCACAAATATCTGTTTTTACATATATACAACATTGGTTCGCTCTCTTGCACCATCAGTCACTTCGTAGGGTTTTCGTAACAGCTGGAAAACAACGAACTGGTCTGTGGTTAATGTTTGTTCAAGAAAGTGCTGTTGCACGGCTTTTATCGCAAGTGCACGCGCCCTCTTGACGTTGCCTTAACGCGGGGGGGGGGGGGGGCCACAACAGAAATCTAGGGCTTGGATTTGATGAAACTAAGCTCCCTTGATTGAGGCTGGGACATGCTCAGGGGGATGGCCGCCCAACACTGTCCGTGCTTTTTGATATTTTGCACCGTCGCTTCGATGTCCTCACAGCAGCTTGAATTTCTCTTGAACATGGCTACTGTCACCACCACATTGTGGGTCTCCCCAGGTCACCAAGGTGCCATTCTTCCGCACCGCCACAAACGCAGCACCATTGGCCGCAATTTCCTGAACTTGCGTCAACTCGTGTTGCACCTCGCTGCTATCCCCACCACTTCTTGGATCACCCCATGTGAAGACCCGGCCATCGCTTCGGAGTGCAGCAAACGCACCACAAGTGGCCTGAACCAGCTGGATATCAAACAAGTGCTCTCGGACGTGGCTGAGGTCCCCACCAAGGGTAAGATCACCCCAAGCAACCACTCGGCCATCAGAACAAACAGCAGCAAATGCAGCCGCAGTTGCCTGAACCTGCACCACGTTTTGCAGCTGCTGCTCAACGCTCGCAGTGTTGCCTCCGCTCGATGCACGCCCCCAGGCAACAACACCGCCATCAGCCCGGATGGCAACAAAGGCGCGTGTATTGCTTTGGATCTCTTGGATTCCTGTCAATTGGTGATTCACTGCGCTGCTGTCGCCGCCAGAACCTGCATCCCCCCAAGTGACAACTGTGCCATTGCCCCGGAGAGCGGCGAAAGCATCACAACTTGCTTTGATTCTTCGTACATCTTGCAACTCTTGCTGCACCTGGCTACTGTCCCCCTCCATGTCATAGAGCCCCCAGGTGGCCACAGACCCATCTGCGCCAACAGCTGCGAAAGTGAGGCCGGTCGACTGAATCTGAGTGACCTTCCGCAGCTTGCGTTGCACCTCGGTTTCATCAAGGTGATCATCAAGGCCGCCCCAAGTAACCACTTGACCGTCGGCACGGATGGCCGCGAAACCCACGGCAGTTGACTGAATCTGCACCACTTGTTCCAACTGCTCCTGCACATCGCTGCTATCTCCGCCTTGATCTAGGTTTCCCCAGGTGACAACTGTGCCATTTGCTCGGATTGCAGCGAACGCACCCTCAGTTGATTGAATGTTCACAACCTCCTTCAATTGGTTTTGCACAACACTGCTGTCGCCGCCTTTTTCAGGGTCACCCCAGCAAACCACAGTTCCGTCACGTCGGATTGCAGCATAGGCATAGGTCCCATGTTGTGTGCATCGCACGTCATTCAGTTCCGCCGGTACTGTCTGACATGCGCCCCAAGGCACCACAAACCCAGATTGTGAAATCGCAAAGAAGTCAGTCCCGTGGGAGCTCACTGTCACCGATGCTTTGACAGCAGTGAGGTGTGTGTCTTCACCTAGGTCCTGCACAGTGCTCTCGAAGCCTAGCAAGTTGCCGCAAGCTGATACAAGCCTGCAAAAGCCAATCTGGAAATGTTGCTGGGCGGCCACCTTCACATCCACCAAGGGAGTCTCTGGTGAGCATCTCAGAGACATGCTTTGGCCACTCAGGAGCGCAACTGTGAGTTCAATCGTCATTGCTCCAAAAGTCAACTGCTTACTTGAGACTTTCCCATGGATCCCAAGCTAAAGGCCAGCCACAAAAGACCTAGGCGTGGGACTTCGAACTCCAAGAATCGGATCATGAACGAACACATTACTGGCATAGCTGAGCATTTGGCAGCTGGCCGGCGCAAAGACACAGCGAAGCTTCAAAGGGGATAGCCGGGCGAAACATGACGGTATGGTCCAGTCAGTTGCTGGCCCCTCTCTGCTCTCGGAACTGGGCATTAGCTGTCGTTACATACCCTTTCGTACCCCTGTGCGCCAACAATATATCGTACCAACATCCCAGCACCCTACACACCACCGTTCCTTGCAACTAGTTCCTGTGATCTTCACGATACGAAAAGGCAAACATCCCTGACATAGATACGGCAACAGGGCCCTACCATGCTATGTAGCAGTTGTCGCCAGTTGTGGTACTGCAAGTAGTAGCAGCAGCAGTAGTAGTAGTAGTAGTAGCAGTAGTAGTAGTAGTAGTAGGTCGAAGTGGCAGCAGTGCTGATAGTATTAGTAGTAGTACGGTAATCGTAATAATAGTACGTGTAATTGTAATAGTAAAGTGGAATTGCAACAGTAACAAAAATGACAAATAAAAATCAAAAATGTAATAATGACAGTAGCAGTGGTAGTAGAAGTAGAAGTAGTAGTAGCAGCAGCAATAATAGTACTAGCAGGAGTAGTAGAAGTAGTAGTAGTAGTAGTAGTAGTAGTAGTAGTAGTAGTAGTAGTAGTAGTACCAGAACAAGTAGAAGTCGAAGAAGTAAAGGAGAAGTTCTAGTAGTAGCAATAACAGTAGTAGTGGCAGTGGTGGTAGAGAAAGCAGTAACAGTACTACTGCTGCAGTAGATGCGGCCCACTGATCATCATCAAGATGAGGCACGCGTCGCTGGGGTGGTGGCGTGGGGGTGGCGTGGTGGGAGCGGTGCGGGTGGTGCAGGGTGGTGGGGAGGGGGGGGGTGGTGGAGATGGTAACGCGCACATCCCGCTTATCATGATCAAGATGACGCGGGGTGGGGGGGGGCAGCGTCCGTGGTCCAATCCACTCATACATCATCCTTTGTCATCAGCAGCGATAACATCCCAGACGATACGCAAGCATGGCGCCGTCTTTCGCTCAAAGTGTGCGCTTGTCATAGCACGATGTGTGCCTAGAAGTTGTGGTAGTATTGGAATAGTAGTCGTAGTAGTAAAAGAAGAAGCAGCAGCAGCAGACCTCTACTTGTACTTCTTTTGGTACTACTACTTGTGCTACCTAGTACTAGTACTAGTACTAGTACTAGTACTAGTACTAGTACTAGTACTAGTACTAGTTCTACTACTACTACTACTACTACTACTTCTACTACTAAACCTACTACTACTTCTACTACTAAACCTACTACTACTGCTGCTACTACTACTACTGCTACTACTGATACGACTACTACTACTACTACTACTACTACTACTACTACTGCTATTGTACTACTGCTGCTGCTACTACTACTATTCTACTACTGCTGCTGCTACTACTACTACTGCCTACTGCTATTACTATTACTACTACTACTGCTACTGCTACTGCTACTGCTACTGCTACTGCTACTACTACTACTACTACTACTACTACTACTACTACTACTTGCAATTTCAACTTCCACTTCTACTTCTTTCTACTTCTCCTACGCCTCCTTCACTTCTTCTTCTCCTTCTACTTCAACTTTTGCTACTGCGTCTCCTTTACTTCTTCTCCTACTTCTTCTACTTCTTCTACTTCTTCTACTTCTACTACTTCTTCTACTTCTACTACTGCTACTGCTACTGCTACTGCTGCTGCTACTACTACTACTACTACTACTACTACTACTACTCTAGCTATGCCCGAAACCCTTGCCAAGCCAGTCCTGGCACTGCGACTCAACCAGCCTCACATCATCCACAGTTCCGTAGCCAGCAGCGCAGGTGACATAAACCTTGTTCTCCTCGCAGCTGCAAAGAAAACGCTCCTGGAAGTGCGCAATCTCCGCTATGCTGCAAAGAAGCGTGCGACATCTCTTTGTCGCCGCCAGAGACGACATATTGAGGACCTACTTGGAAGGGGGCGCAGCCTCAGGGTAAAAGCAGTCCGCTTAAAGCTCTGCAGCACGGTTCTTTCCACACAGCCAAGGTACTGCTGCACGGACGGCTGGCACATGCCCGCCTTGACATGCTGGCAGTCCCCAAACGGTCCCAGTAACTCAACCATCGGATGCTATAGATCCAATGGAATCGTTCAAGCCCCGGCAAATCCCCGTGTTTCATGCCCTTTCGCATGACCTTCTCTGACGTAACTTCAGCTGCGTGGCTGGTCCGCTGGCCGTGACCCAGCGTCGCAATGCATGTCCCCAACTTGGTACCTCAGCACAGCAAATGTCAAGCTCTTGATGTACTTCTGAGCGCCACCATTGCAAACAACCATCGCGAATCATGAATATTCCCAGCCAGCTAGGGCCAGCTAGCAACCAAACAGATTGGACGCATTTGCCAAGACTCGTTTGTGACTCGTAGCCGGTCCAGGAGCACCACACCTCTCGGCTTTGAAAGCCGCCTCCACACAGCTGACCTCAATCGGCAACGTCGAATCTTCGTACTCATCTCAACACACGAGCAACCACAACTTAATAAATCTGACTTGACCACAAACTGTGCTAGAATCAAGTCAGCGCGGGCTTGACCCATGGTTGATTGATGCATAGGTTCATGTGTGCTTGCTTCAGCTGGGCGTGTACTTGCTTTTTTTTTACGACGAATCATTACTTTGTGCTTTCTATGATGGCACGGTGGGTGCTCTTGGTCATGAAGCAGGATACCGTTCCGAGCTATTTGATGGTGCTTTTCTGGCAGCTCAACAATCCAACTGCCAATATCCCAATGGAATGTCTGCAAGAACGCTGCCACCAAGAATGTTCGGAAACAAGGTTCTGCTTACAGCCTGCTCAGCTCAGTTCAGCCGCCAGTGTCAAGCAAATAGGCAGTATGACCTGATGGTGCGCTTGAGGTACTCATAGCTGGGCTAAGGCCACGGCTACAGGGCCCCCAGGAATCACCTGAAAGCAAACACAAAAGCAAAACATGGGAGCCTTGCACAACGCCCCTGAAAAAAAGGCACACAACGTGGTAGCGTGTGAGCATGGAAAAAACTGCTGATGGCAAAACGCTGGGTGGCTGTAGTTCTTTTTGGACATGCCTGATATATGATGTCTGTTGGAATGATTAATTAGTTTGGGCAACGCCTCATTGAGAATTTCTCATGGGAGCACACCTTGGTAGCTTCAGGCTTCATCCATGCATGGCTGGCGGGCTGGAGGCAGCCAAGTGCTTGCTGGCTGGCTGCGCATGGCCCCAAATGCAGTACTGGAGTTCACGAGTGAATTCCTCACGCAGCGTGAAGCTGCCACTTGGCAGCTCAATGGCTGGCCTGTGTCTGGACCTGCTCTTTCACCCTTCCACATTGCGGAAAAATCATCGGCGGTCTCATCAAACTACCCTTACATCAAAACGTCGAGAATCAACTGCCATCACCAGCATTTCTGGTGGTGCGCCATGCACCTCTGGGGCCTACATGGTCAACAAGACCTTCACGCCCAGAACACTAAAACACAAACACCTGCGTTTGTTTCACATCCCCACTTTGAGGCGCCCCCACGCCTAGCCTTTCAGTTGCTTCAACCCCTGGCGTGCGTCCAAGCTGCTGATGTCCCAAGAATAGCTGCCCATGATTCGGAGGGAGAAGAACTGCATAAGGCTTCCAAAGCCATTTTCCCAAGCCACCTGATACTTGACAAATGCACTGGAGCCATTTGCATTCACATGAGAGCCCCTCATCAACAGCGAACGCGCATTTCGCAGGCGCCACCTGGCTGCGGTAGGTGGCAGACCGGGAGATCTGCATCAGTTGGTCGACGGTATCGGCTGCCGACCTCTCACCTGCTGCTGTCATGCTTCTTGTGTCAAGTGCGGGCATCTCGTTTTTTGGTAGGTGACATTTCTGTAAGGACGCGAAAGGGTGCCACCGGCTATCTCTGACAGGCGCCCGCTAACACAATACGTACAAAGCGTCTGTCCCGATCAGGTACGCATGTGCGCGTCACTCCTCTTTGGGCAGCGCCTGAGTCTCCATCCGTGACCAGAATTTCCGCCTCCAAGGCGGCGCCGTTGCAGCACTCCACCTTTCCAACGCCTCATCTCTCCCCCGATTTGCTTGACAAGCCAGGCAACTCAAGGCCCGGACTCATCCGGTCCTGCTCAGTGAGCCCCGCGGCCTTCGCACGCTTCTGCGTGATAATTTTGGGTCGGCTACTTTAGCCCTTTAAATGCACCTATTCATAGACTCATATGCGTGACCACATACCTATACATACGCAAATTGGCATGATCTGGCGTGTATGCATCTAGGGCAAGTCATGTAGTAAAGCTTGCAGGCCCATCAAGGGAAATTTGAGGACCTCTTTAGAGCCAGCCAGACCTGGTTCCCTCCTGCTTAGCTCCTGGCGAGCGCAAGGTTCTTGAGGCACGACTGTGCAAACGCACTCTCCTGCGTAGCATTGCTGAAGCCTTGAAGCAACGCCAAATGTATCATGCATTGGCACTGGTGGCTCATGGGAGCCACGTTTGGCGCAACTCCCCGGCTAGAACATATTCCCGTGTCCTCGAGACCTGGCACCTTGGGCCGTGAGGCTCTCTGCGGCACCCTCTTGTCGCACTGAGCTGGGAGCAGGCTGCAGGAGGTTGAACTGGGCCACTGCTGCCAGCACCTGGCAGGATGTGGTGGCGGCGAAAAAGGATGATTGGCTGCACGCTAAGATCATCCATTTGGGGACACGCCGGGACCTTTGGTCACTGACGTACTCGTGTGAACTGAAAGAGCGATGCAGCCGTGCAAACGTGCCGCGAACCATGCGGTCACAGCCGCTGCAAGCTTCCACAGTGGCTGGGCGCTGCCCAGAACAAAGCGAGCTTGGCACCACCTGGACAGCATCAGGCGCAAGCGCACGGGCATCCAAGCCTACCATTCACGCCCATCACAAAACATCTGGCCTGGTACCTTCCCGATTCCGCGTCCATGTCAGACTGAACACAGAAAACCAGTCTCGTGCGCTGTCTGGCCTGACATGGCAAAGAAGGGCGCGGGTGCTTCTTGGAGAGTGACAAAGTGGCACAGAGCAACGCCCGAAACATCAAAGCAGGAAGCCCTCAATGGACAGGTTTGCTTTCATTGCTTTCCGTTTGCCTTCGCAACTGACCACTGGTCAATCACCGGCCCAGGGTTTGAAGTCCAAGCCCACGGCGCCATGACATTCTGCGCCAACGATGCCATAGCAAGGCCTCCACTCCTCCGCCTGCCGCTGAAGTGATCACACGCTTCGCAGCGCCGGCGTGCCGGCGCGCCGCGCCTCCCAGTGGAAGTCTACAGACGGCGGACAGGAGCAAAGCTCCGCCGTAGCTTCAGAAGCGCTCATGGCAACCTGGCCAACAAAAGCACCGGCAACCTTGATCAAAGGAGATCTGCCCTTCAAGCGCTGCCTCTGAGGCTGCCCTGCCTTCTTGCTTGGATCTGACGCATTGACTGCATCCACCAGCTGATTTAGCCACAACCTTGGCGGGTCTTGCAAGCAGGAAAAACAACTTGCAATCACACAGTATGGCACTGCTGTTCATGCATGTTTTGCATTCACAACCACTCGTGACTAGTCCATCACCCTCAAACTGGATCCAGGTAGCTGAGATGTAGCCTTCTGCCAAACACAGCCGGAAGGCATGTCCATAGCCAACCTCCAAACAATCTCAAATCAAAATAAGCTGAAGCATGGGCGTGCGCATGCGCTATGACTTCAATCTACCAATTTGAGGGCGCCCGCTTGCCCCCGCCCCGGTTGTTCCACAAAAGCATGCACGAATGCGAACGAGGCTCGTGAGGGATGGCGTTGTGTCAGGAAGCCCCAGCACAGTAGCAATTTGATTGCACTCCTCAGCAAACTGCAGACTTTGTCGCCTTTTGACGCATTTCCAAGCGCTGCTCCAGCTAAGCTCCATTCGGCATGTTCAGCCAAATTTGGGCTGTGTCATTGTTTCAGTTGCATGGGTCGATTTGGGGCAGGACACTCCCGAAAACCTTAAGGCCTAAGCCGAAACCAAAACACTCGCACAAACACTGCCATTAGTCACCAAATGGTCACGGCATGCAGAACTACACACACACACACACTGGGCGAGGAGCAGAACAACGGCAGAGGAAGCTGACGACAAACGAAAACAAACAAGATCAGAACAAGAACACAAAAAGGGCCCTAAGAACAATCGCGGCGACCTCAGTAGCTAAAGCAACCAAGGCATGTTAGAAGAAGACGCAAACACAACCACCACAGCAGCCATGCAAAATGGCTGCGAGCGATTTTGTGGCAGCCCCTTCTGACCGTATGCCGCCAAAGCACAGAATTGCCCCGTGCAGAAGCACAGTTCCTCTCTTTCATCTGTGGGTGCGTGCCTCAAAAGCAGCACCATGTCACGGAGAAATCAAAGCCTTTCCTTTTGCCTCGAAGCTTTGGCACTGCCTGCAGGCAACTAAGCAATGCACGGCAGGTGTGTTCATACACTGCCGCTACTCCCGTGGGGTCGCATGCGTCCCAGTGCAGCTGGTTCTGCAGCCTGCAGCACAGAAAAGCACGAAAGCCGCCTTCCGCCTGCCCGTAAGCGAGGTAAGACGCACCCAACTGTTCGACCTGGACTCTCTTGCTTGTGCGTTATAACGGGTCAAGCAGACTCAAACAAATTGTGGTGCTTGCAAGGCTTTACCCCTTTATGGGAGATCCAAACCGGGTGCAGGGAAGAAGGCATGCGTCGGCTGGCTACCCAACTGCGAGGACTGTGGCCTCGCATGGACCAGTGTCACAAAAGAAGCCGGTGATCTCCGAAACATGTCTATTTGAACTTTAAAAAAGAAAATACAGAAGAAAAAGAAAAGGGGAGAAAAAAAGACGCCAAGGAGGGATTGTGATGTGAGAGGTGTGAACCAAAGCATGTCAAGGTTCTGGAAAGAGAAATCAAAGCAGGCCATATACCCTAAACAGTGCCCAACAAATGCTGCGTGGACACTCGTAAATACCTCTGCAGTAACACACCAACAGATCAGTGGCTCCATTTTGCACATTTTGGGGAAGCCATTCCTTGCTGGCTGTCACCTCCTTGCGCCTCCTTGTTGCCTGCAACCGAAAGGATTAGAGGCTTTGGTTTCTTCTACTTGGCTGCTTTCTGCGCAAGGGCCTGGGTGCTTGCTTGCGGAGCAGTGACACTTGTGAGGCGGTCGTCGAAGGAGATGTGTACAGATTAAAGGGTCTTGTGAAGCTGCGATGCCGCAGCTACCCAGCCCCGATCATGGTTACGAACCGAAAGCAAGCTTGCTCGGTGATGCTGCAGCATGACCTATTCGATCAGATGGAGAAAACCTGCATGCTTGTTTGCCGGGACTGCCTCCAAGACAACACTGGCAACCCTGGTACGCAGTTTCAAGCGGGGATGCCTTACAGACGATGCAAAAAGTTTACAGCCAAAAGCCTTGAAATTACAATTTTGCTGTGCCCGGCCAAGTGCATGTCAGTCGGAATACAGCACTCAAGATCGAGCGGCTGCGTGCCGCAGGTCGGGGAGGTTGTGGGGCACCAAGAACGTGCGCCGTTGTCCGGGGTGGTGCAGCAACCCCTCCGCTGTGCCCTGCAAAGGGCGCTGCTGTCGCCCTCTGCGATCTCCCAGCCCACCTGACAAAAGCAACCCTTCCTCGTCTCAAGGCCTCACAGGGAGCGTGCAAGCAAACATGGCGAAGAATCCGGCCACAACACGTGCAGCACAAGAATCCGACAACAACAAGGGCCCATTGCTGAGAAGCTGATCCGTTTTGCATTCTGAAGCCCTTCCGATTTTTGTTTGGCCCTCCCACCTCGCGCCAAATGGCAGCTGGCCCGTCGGAAGTTGGGCTGCCACCTGGTGGCCCGGCGCAGGAAGCAGCACTGCGCCACGTTCCGGTCACCACCCACGTGGTCGAAGAACGTGAAGCCCACGCCTCGGAGCTCGGCATCGGCTTCATCACAGCGCGTCGGGAGAGAGCGCCCGGCCACGGATTCCCGAGTTGTGACCGCAGAAAATGTGGGTTTAGCGTCTGTCGTTGGCAAACGCTGTAGGGCACAGGACATGTGAGACTCTGCGTTCAAGGGCAACCCAATCCGAGCCATGGTGCAGCTGCCCAGCTGGCTGCACATCATCCGGCAAAGATCGCTGGCCGCGGTGAGGTCCAAAATCTCGTGGGAGACTTCCTTGCCAACACGCTCCGGGACCTTGGGAAGGTCTGGAAGCTAGCAAGTGCTCAACTCAACCATCACCCTTTCCGCTCCCAGCACCCTTCATGGTGTCTGTCCGATTTGAAGTGGTGGCTGGTGGCATGAGGGCTGGCATCTCCATCTGTTGTCGAGCTGCTGCTGAGCTGGCCCCCGCCACCGAGGTGGCATTCATTGCCACGCAATACGTTGGCCCGGTGCCATTGACGTTCCTAGCGTGAGCGCTCAAAATCACATGAGACGTTTTATCCCCACCAAAATAGTCTAGTAGGTCTAATGCAGAACGATCAAATCATACACCCATACTGATGCCATGTTCAAACCAGGTCGAAAAACCAACGACCCAAGAGCAAATCGTTGCAAGTGCAAAAGGGTGCTGCCCTTCTTCCACCGCAAGAGCCAGGAAACCCAGCTGACCGTCACAAAAACATAGCTGACTGCCGCACAAGGCTCGTCACCAGCCACATGCCACTGACAACCTCTGATTCGTCCAGCATTCTTGTTTTGCCAGCACAACCTTGGGGCCGCACACGTAAAAAATGGCCTTCCATGCAGTGCACGGACTTCTTTGAGGCCGCCTTGCGTTGCAAAGGCCAGAGGCACGACCAAACTTGCCATCCCTCCAGATACGCATATCCAAAGCCAATGTTGGGCAGGTGGCCGGAGTCTGGCAAGTGTACTCCCCGAAACTGGGAATGACATGGGCTTCCATACATTCCCCCCAGTGCATCTATAAAGAGAACATGTATGGGGAAGGCTCTTCATGGGGGATATCACCCCCTTTATGCATGGATGAGTTGCCTCAAGGCATGCGAGCAGCCTTGCAGCAGAATCCAGCACTTCTATGAGCATCGAAGCTATGTCTGGCTAGGTGCCCTTGTGCATGGGCATGGCTTGCACGACTGCATGTACTTGCAATACCATCAGGTTCTCTCAGCATCACCCTCTGGTCTTTGCCAACAGCCAGCTTAGGCCTGCAAAAGTCTAAATGGGTCAATCATGTGAAGGTATGCCTGCGCCTTTCCGGACAGGTTGGGCAGAAAAGCAGGAACAAGCCATGCTCGCCCAAGTGGCGCGTATGCTGCTCTGCGATCCAGCACGATTGCGTTGAACCTGCCGCTTGCACAAAGCAAAACATGCCCCCCGACGAGAACACTAAAGCAATTTGTGTTGGGCGACCTGTGTGCACACCACGTCCCTTCAACCTGTCTGCCCTTTGCCCTCTCGCTATGATTCCAAAGGCCCGAGGGTGCACTTTCGTTGCCTTCGAAGCCAACAGGGGCCCATGTTGAAAGGAATCTCCTCCAACACACTGTCAGCGTCCGTGTTTAAAGCGTGGACCAATTGCAGATGAGCAGCAGGGCTCGGTCGAGGCGGGCTCCTGCAATTCGCCGCGGGCTCAAGAGATTTTTTGGCGGGACGCAAGTGCCATGGTCGAAATAGGGTGCAAAAGAAGGGGATCACAGAATCACAAGGATCAAAGCTCCAGCTCCCCACGCGAAGGTGCGTGGGCATTGCTGTGAACCCCAAGTAACATGCAGGATAAAACGGACGCAAAACCTGTGTCAAAGCCTGTAAGTGTTTGACAATCCTCAAACCAGCAACGCTGCCCCCCAATGAACGTGATTGCATTGCATTGGTCCTCCAGCCCAGCTTCCCTGCAGAGCACTGCATCCACAACCTGCACCGCTTCTCCTGCAAGGATGTCACAAATAGGGCTGCCTTTGCATCGGAAAGTTTAGAGGCGCAAGTCAAGAATGACTCATCCAGTGAAGCTTTGCGGAATTTCAGCCGTTTCCTCCATCGAAAATCTCTTGATGGACGTCCTGTTTCATAAGGCGTAAGCATGCCCGCCTGTTTGTTCACCTTCGGGCTCCGGAATTCCAATCAGCTCTTGGCAAGTCACATGCCGATATCGGTGCTGCATGCCTGAAGCAAAAAACCGGCTGCACATGTTGCCCTGTGAGAAGCTTGCAAGACACGTTGTCCCCCAGCGCACGTTTGCTGTTCACAAACAATGCCCGCTCCAAACGCTGCATAACCAAAATCCTACAAGTCTGACTCTGCCGCACATGTTGCTAGAAAACCACTTTCCATACATAAGCAGAAAACAAACTTGAAATGTCCAAACAAACAAACAAACAAACAAACAAACAAACAAGCAAGCAAGCAAACAAACAAACAAACGAACAAACGAACAAACACACACACAAACAAACAAAGAAACAAAGAAACAAAGAAACAAAGAAACAAAGAAGCAAGCAAGCAAGCAAGCAAGCAAGCAAGCAAGCAAGCAAGCAAGCAAGCAAGCAAGCAAGGAAGCAAGGAAGCAAGGAAGCAAGGAAGCAAGGAAGCACGGAAGCAAGGAAGCAAGGAAGCAAGGAAGCAAGGAAGCAAGGAAGCAAGCAAGCAAGCAAGCAACCGAGCAAGCAAGCAAGCAAGGAAGCAACCAAGCAAGGAAGCAACCAAGCAAGCAAGCAAGCAAGCAAGGAAGCAAGGAAGCAAGGAAGCAAGGAGGCAAGGAAGCAAGGAAGCAAGCAAGCAAGCAAGCAAGCAAGCAAGCAAGCAAGCAAGCAAGCAAGCAAGGGAGCTAGCAAGTAAGCAAGCAAGCCAGGAAGCAAGCAAGCAAGCAAGCAGGCAAGCAAGCAAGCAAGCAAGCAAGCAAGCAGGCAGGCAAGCAAGCAAGCAAGGAAGGAAGGAAGGAAGGAAGGAAAATAACACAACGCAACGCAATACAACACAACACAACACAACATACCACAACTTCAAACCCCTGTGGAGATTCTTTCAGGATCTGAGCGCATGAGGTCTGAAGTCTGCTTGCTCGATTTCAGAAAACCCAAGATTTCAGGCTTCAAAAACTAGATTTTTTGCCCAACAACTTACAACGGAAAACAAGCTCTAAGCTTTTGGCACCATCAGGACAAGCAGTGTTCCATGTGTGCGCTTTGCTCAAGCTGTCCAATGCGCTCTCCTAGATGCAGATTCAAATGCACTATGGAATGCTAGACGTGTAGGAAGGTGCAAGGCGCGGGTCGGACACATGCGGAGAGCCCTGCACTTGTGCAAACACAACTTGACAAACAAACGCTGACGATACTCTTGGAACACATGGACATGCACTAGACTTGAGAGGCGGATGAACGAAAACTAGCCTGGACGAGATTATGAGAATATGCTCGTGCGGGGCGGGACAGGCGGGGAATCGAACCCTTCGAGAATAAGGAGGTGTCCCCCAGGTAAAGATTTGCTCATGACCCTGGCTAAACCAGGTGTCGTGAAGCTCGGCCAAGCTAAAGCTTAGAGAGCTAGATTTCGTCACATGTGCTAGGAAATGGTCAGGAACGTTGTTTACAACGTACACCTGTGCATATGCAAAGCGTGAGGCGGTCCACGCGGATAGTCATTGATAATTCCCAGCGTTCCACGCATTGCCCCCAAGAAAGGGGAGGGGATCATTTTCGAACACCGATTTTGGATCATTTTCGAACACCGATGTCCTGCGGCACCCGTGGGGTTGAGGAGAGGGTGGGGTGGGGCAGTTACGTTCGCCTCTTACCGCGTGACCGTGCCACTGCGTCCTGGAACTGGGGGTGGGGGTGGGGTGGGGCAGTTACGTTCGCCTCTTACTGCGTGACCGTGCCACTGCGTCCTGGGGGTGGGGGTGGGGGTGGGGGTGGGGTGGGGCAGTTACGTTCGCCTCTTACTGCGTGACCATGCGACTGCATCCTGGGGCTGGGGAAGGGGGTAATTGACTGCGTGACGGTGGAACTGCGTATTGGGGCTGGGCAAAAGGTGGGGTGGGGCAGTTACGTTCGCTTCTTGCTGCGTGACCGTGCGACTGCGTCCTGGGGCTGGGGGGGGGGGGAATGGGGTGGGGCAGTTACGTTCGCCTCTTACTGCGTGACCGCGCCACTGCGCCCTGGGGGGTGGGGTGGTGTGGGGTTGAGGCAGTTACGTTCGCCTCTTACTGCGTGACCGTGGGCAGTTACGTTCGCCTCTTACTGCGTGACCATGCGACTGCATCCTGGGCTGGGGAAGGGGGTAATTGACTGCGTGACGGTGGAACTGCGTATTGGGTCGGGTGGGGCAGGTACGTTTGCTTCTTGCTGCAAGACCGTGCGACTGCGTCCTGGGGCTGGGGGGGGGGATGGGGTGGGGCAGTTATGTTTGCCTCTTACTGCGTGACCGTGCCACTGCGCCCTGGAAATGGGGGTGGGGGTGGGGGACGTTCGCCTCTTACTGCGTGACCGTGCCACTGCGTCGGGGGGGGTGGGGTGGGGCAGTTACGTTCGCCACTGCATCCTGGGCTGGGGAAGGGGGTAATTGACTGCGTGACGGTGGAACTGCGTGTTGGGTGGGGTGGGGCAGTTACGTTCGCTTCTTGCTGCAAGACCGTGCGACTGCGTCCTGGATGGGGTGGGGCAGTTACGTTCGCCTCTTACTGCGTGACCGTGCCACTGCGCCCTGAGGATGGGGGTGGGGGTGGGGGACGGTCGCCTCTTACTGCGTGACCGTGCCACTGCGTCCTGGGGGGTGGGGTGGGGCAGTTACGTTCGCCTCTTACTGCGTTGACCATGCGACTGCATCCTGGGCTGGGGAAGGGGGTAATTGACTGCGTGACGGTGGAACTGCGTATTGGGTGGGGTGGGGCAGTTACGTTCGCTTCTTGCTGCAAGACCGTGCGACTGCGTCCTGGGGCTGGGGGGGGGGGGGGGGACGGGGTGGGGCAGATACGTTCGCCTCTTACTGCGTGACCGTGCGACTGCGCGCTGGTGGTGATGGTGGTGTTGTTGGTAGTGGTGGTGACGATGTTGATGATGATGGTCATGATGATGATGATGATGATTATGATGATGATGATGCTGACGGTGATGACGTTGATGATGATGGTGATGATGTTAATGATGATGATATTGATGTTGGCGATGAGGATGTCGATGGCGATGACTTTGATGATGTCGATGATGATGGTGATGTCGACGTTGATGTTGATAATGGTGATGATGTTGTTAATGATGATGATGGTGATGATGTTGATGTTGACGATGTTGATGATGATGTTGACGATGATGATGTTGACGATGATGATGATGATGGTGATGATGATAATGGTGATGGTGATGGTGATGGTGATGGTGATGATGATGATGATGATGGTGATGATGGTGATGTTGACGGTGTTGTTGATGATGATGATGATATAGATGTTGGTGGTGATGTTGATGATGTTGATGATGGTGATGATGATGGTGGTGTTGATGTTGATGATGGTGATGTTGTTGGTAGTGATGATGACGATGTTGATGATGATGGTAATGATGATGATGATGATGGTGATGATGATGGTGATGATGATGATGGTGATGTTCACGGTGTTGTTGATGATGATAAAGATGTTGGTGGTGATGTTGATGATGTTGATGATGGTGATGAGGATGTTGGTGTTGATGTTGATGATGGTGATGCTGTTGGTAGTGATGATGACGATGTTGATGATGATGGCAATGATGATGATGATGATTTTGTTGACGATGTTGATGATGATGATGGTGTTGATGATGATGATGATGATGATGATGATGATGATGATGTCGCTTTGCGTTCCTTTCGCTTTGTGTTCCCGGGTCTACAGTTGACGATCGTCTCCCAAAAGCACGGCGCCATCCATGTGCTACACGTGCATCGTGGCGCGTGTTCGTGCGCCTCATCGTGGTGTGCGTGGACACTTGGAAAAATGGCCGTGCTGCTGTAAATCACATACACTTGAGCAAAACCGCGTTCAAAAACGAGCCAAAACACGCGTTCAAAAACGAGCCAAAACACGCGTTCAAAAACGAGCACCTTTCCCCAAGAAAGTGGGCCAGAACTTGGCCACTGGCGAATCCTGAAATGCCGTCTGTGGTGCCGCAGGAGCGACTGCACACGCTCCACTCGCCCACTGACCACTTGTAAATCCGCAGCGGCCTCGCTTCCCCACAGCGGCAGAGCTGGGGATGCTTCTCCGTGGCGTCTTTGTCGCCGCCTGCCTTGTTGAGCCAAAGCACCGGGGACCCGTTGTCCGCCGTGGCGTACTCCCAGGAGCAGAAGCCGGGGATCTGCTTCGACAGCCGCAGCTGCGCCGGACTCGAAGCCAAGCCCAGGGCTCGGGCCGCCTTCTCGCACTCCTCCCGCTCCTGAGTCACTGAGGCAACCCTCCGTTCCCCGATTTGCAATAGGCCAAGTCTAAAACCAATACTAAATCTGCCGATTTCGCACCAACCCCGCCACCAGCCATATCTGGGGGGGTATGATTCCAGCACATTTTCAAGAATCATATTTGTTCATATGTACCGTTTATCGATTGTAGTTCCAATCTTGAATTGCGCCTTGTACTTTTGAACCGCTGAAATGAACAACCACCTTAAACGATGGTATTTAAGTTCAATACTCGGAAATTGCGATATGTTAACGGTTGTCCTGTCTAAAAGAAAAGAAGCCCATTTGGACGAGGACCTAAGAGGAGATCCGGTCGAATTGTGATTACCGTGTTAATAATTGTTTGTCCCCCAGCATCCCCAGCCAATGCTTATTTATAGGGGGTTTTCGTGACCATAGTCATTCCAACGACAAATGTTCATGGCCGACCCTAGTCGTTTAAGTGCCCAACTCCTCGATGGGCGTGCAGCGAACATCTGTGCAGGTGCCAGCGGTCACCAAAGCCAGAGCAGGGCCCCCACAGGAGGCCATGACCACATCTGCCGAGCAGTGCCCCGGCATGCAGCAACCTCCCATGGCAGAATCTGGGCAGGTCCAGTGGGTCTCAGATGCCTGGCACAACTCCTCCGGAAGCACCAGAGATGCGGGATCCAGCCAACACGTCTCGCTCTGCCCAGGCTGCTCCGCTCCAGTGATCTCGGTCGGAAGGCCAAGCGCAATTGTAAAAACAGGACTCTCTTGTCCGGCATGATAAGGATCTGCCAGTCTGTAACCTGCTCTAGCGACACGCCTGAGGTGAAACGTAGCCTGCATACGAAACTGAGGGCTCCCATCATCCTTGGAGAGAACTAAGTCACTGAAGCCTGAAAATCCGGCAGCTGATCCAGCTTGTCTCACCAGGTAGTTGCCCCCGCATTTTGCAAGGGAAACGCATGCCTTACTTAGCAGAATCAGACCAGCTGCACCACAGTCTGCATGTTCTCTCTCTCTCTCTCTCTCTCTCTCTCGTTGCGTCCACAGGGTCTTGACTCGGCATGCATGTTGCATTCAATGGTTTGTTGAGTGGATTGTGCGTATCTGAACGGGGGCCAGTGTGCCTCGAAAGGAGTGGTTTCTTGGAAGCAAGCGAGCCAAGTTGCCGTGGCTTGGGCCAAGACTTCTGGTAAGACACGAAGGGTCGCACTACAACTTGCTTTGGCAAGGCCGCGGAGAAGCCTCACTGAACGTGAAGCACTGTTCAGCTATGCATTTTATGTGCTGTCTCTTGTGTCAATGCTGCATCAACCTGCGTGGCTTCTGACCTGGCCCGAACTGCCACTTGGCCATCATTTGATCCAGCATAGCAGCTGAAGTGGCAAAGGTGTGCCAGCACCAGCGACTTGTACAAGGGAGTCTTCCGGCTCCATAACAACTGCCTCGGCTCCGCCTTCTTGGCTTGTTGCCTCTCTGGCGAGCGAGCGCTTAGAATAGCTAGTTCACGTGGATGCTGGATAGCGTTCTGTGCCAGCTGCATTGCTGCCGAGCTGCGCTCCAATTCATCCCCATCAGCCCTCCAGTGTTCAAGTGAGCAATGGAAAAGCAGCCCTTGCCTCAGCGCAACAGTGCGATCGAGCAACCAAGGCTCATTGTCATGAATGATGCTGGCCAAACCGCATGCGGGCGGTGGTTGGCATTCAGGAACCTGAGGTCTTGGATGGCTGCGCTTGCCCACATGGCGCAAGACATGCGCTTGGTGCAGCATGTGCAACGCCTGAGGCAAGTGCATCCTGGCAAGGCATTGTTGCAGGTGGAGCTGGTTGAGGGCACCGCTGCCCGCCATCACCCACATCGTCAGGATCGAAGACCCTGCACCGAACCTGACTAACTGATAATAACTGAATAACTTCATCTTCTGAACGCAGCCACGCCAAAAAGTGTCTTGACTCAAGCTGCTAGTCTGACTTAGCCAGGCACTGACCGGTTGGTGTACATGCCAGGGGCAACGCACTCAAACTGGTCGCAAACTTCCCAGTCGCCAACCACCCACTCTGCACGCACCTGAGTCTTGTTCAGCGAAGTAAAGTACTCGCACTCTTGCCTGCTCGGCTAAACAAATGTTGATTCCTTCAGATCTGGTCTTCTTGTGCATATGTCCTTCTCTGATCAAGATGTAGGGCCGGCCTGGGGCTCGAAGGTCAATCGTACGAGCGCGCCATACCTGGGCGTGCACAGCAGTTGTCGATCGCACGATGCGGCCAAACATGAAGCATGACCTTTTACCAAGGACCCACTGCATCCATTCCGCAAGGGTTATCTCACGTCGTATCCGCAAACCATCACAAGCCTGGCAGGGGGTTGCCAAGCAGCTTTGGATCGAAACCGGAGAGCAACTCACTGTAGCAGTCAACTTCCCCGTCGTCACTGACGCTGCACTTGCACGTGTCACCTGGGCACAGGTCGGCACAGGTCACTGACAATGATAAAGTGGATCTTCTTAAGGTTCTTGAGAATGGCTACTCGAAAGGGACAATCAGCTCAGTGCAACTCATGTTCTTCGATGGGACGTTTGTGAGGAAACTTACGAGACCTCGTCCTGACGGGCGAATCCCTTGCCAGGCCACGGGTCCTGCTGGCTTCCACCTCGATCCGCAGCTCCGATTGCACCACCCGGCCGAAGTTGATGTTGGAACATTCCTCATAGACTCAACCAGGGAATCTGAGGCGCTTCCAACCGGGATTGGACACGCACAAGGCTAGAAGGATCATAATAAGGATCGTCCTAGTCCCGGCTGCGTAATTATGATGAACTGCGGGCATGGCGTGACGCAGTTGCAATGTCATGCAATTCCAGCATGAAGGAATGCAAATTTGATGACAACTGCCAAGTAGTTGTGTGATTGAAACGTGGCGCTTGAACACTCTTTTCTGCAAGAGATGAAAGCCCATTCTGAAGGGCAAACCCAACGCTTGCAATTCAGCAATTAATTGCTTGTCCGCCCCATTCGCAGCTTCATCTTGCAGCAAAACCTATCGAGATGAAGGAGCCTGTCAAAAATCACTACTTCGCTAAAGCGCCCCACAAGCTTGCCCAAGAGAAATATTTTTGAGTTGTGGCGAAGGCCTACACACATATTCACATGGAGGACCAGCATGTGGTACTTCGTTTTCGAGTTTCAACTCGCACCATGGCCGACCCACGACCCCCACATCCCCACCTGTCCAAACCAGTGCCGTTGAGGATTTGTGTTGGGACGGGCCGGCAGCCGGCAGTCGAGAGCCAGCATCGAGAGCTGGAACAAACATTCGGAGAGGCGCGCAAGGGACTTGCACCTTTTGAATTGAAGCACGCGTCTCCAATGGCAGGGGGACATTGCAGCCATTGACAACTCCATGCTGGAAAGGCAGGGTTCAAATTGAACAATACGCACCCAGCACCAGAACCTTGCATTCACCCTCAAACCTTTCCTCCCAGCTGCATCTCCATAAGCGGTTCGTGGGTCTCCAGCCTTCTCGACCGTGCGAGACATGGAAAGGTTGCTTCCGACACCTTCAAATGGCTTCAGGGCCTGTGTAGTCACAGTTCCGCCAGCCATGCAGCTTATCCACAAAGTATTACTAAGTTAAACGAGGTCGCACTGAGCATTTAGAAATCCCAGGTTGACCATCCTCATGTGGTAGCCATAGTATGCATCCAGAAGCCTCCTTCTCGTGCCAAGTGCTCCGGCAGGCTTTCCAGCTACCAGGCACAGAGTCAGAAAGAGCAGTCCGAGAAACAAGTCTCACCAGAACAAGTAGCACTCTTGGCACATGGGGGTATACACACGACCGCCCAACAACCAAAGTTTCAGGCCTATAAAATTGCACGTGCTTGCCAAGTGCAAGCTAGGCTCGACCAATGAGCAGTTGTAGTCGGACGCCACTTTGGGGCTGCAAGTAACTTGTTGCCCCCCAACCTGCAAGCGCAAAGCTGAAGTGAAGCCCCAGGTTTGCGTGGCACTTTGCCCAGCCTTCACACTAACTTGCTCATCTTCGGAGTGCATGTCCACTTGCGCAACTTCCACTCTCACCTGGGCATTGCGAAGGCGAGAGAGTTTGCCGCCGCGGCTGTCGGACTGTCGTGCCCTGGCCTTGTAGAACACATTGGGCGGGACCACCACTGTTCGCGTTTCGATGCACTCAGGCTGACAGCTGCCCTGGTGGCCAATGACGGCCACCAAGGCCTGATACCTGTGGGGCAAATCAAATGAGGCACTCGATCAGCACAAATCGTCACGCCTCTCTTCCCCATCCTGCCATAAGACTAAGTGCTCCGAGGTCTGGCACTTCACAATCAGAAAACACAACAAAGGAATCACCTCAGCTGAAAGTCCATGTGGGGTGGGTTCTTGAGAGCTGTATTTTGTTCAAGCACTCATTCTAGGACACATCAAGCAAACTCTAGACTGCAAGTCTCTGCAAGTCTCTGCAAGACAGGCCACTCGCATGAAAAGCGCTTTGATGCCATCATCTGCAGGAGACACAAGGCGTCCTCAGTAGTGTTCAAGGCACACATTCAAGGTGCTACCGCTGCACGAGCGCTCTGCGCTGCTCAGGGTGGCACTTGGAAGCCTTTTCTACATTTACTTCCTAACTTGTTCTGCCCTCAAAGAATCGCCCATTCTTGCCATGCTTCACAGCACTGCGCGGTGGCCGTGCCATGGGCGCGGGTCACGCCCCTTCGGACTAGTTCTGCGGCAGTCGGCGCTAGGCTCCTGGACCCCAGGTTCAACCCCGCACATGCCTTTGCTAGATGGGTATGGGTCAAAATAAATCCACCAGGAGACGGCAGGTTTTAGTCTTTGGTTCCATGTACCAGGGTCCATTTTGGGTACCTCTTTTTGACCCACAGCCAGATGTCTCTGGCACGGACCCGACATGCGCAATTTGAACATGGCAGCTTTTTTGGCTGGCTGAAGTCGGCCAAGCGTGGCGCCGGTTCGGCCAGGCAAGAGCTCCGCAAGTGCGCCCGCAAGCCGCCCCCGCCCGCCCGCAGCTGTCGGAGCTCCTCACGCTGGAGAAACAAACGGCCGAACCCGAACAGGAAGCCCAGAGCGAAGGTGAAATTTTAATAGTAATTGGAAAACCCGAGGGGCATGTGTCTGTGTGTGCGCGCATATGCATACGTCCATAGAATCATACATTCTTTCCTTACTTCTAGGGTGCCTGTCGTCGTTTTCTTGGAAATAGTGCCCCAGTGTGCAGAGAATCTAGAACAAGCGCAAGGCCAATGGTGACAATGGCGCGTTTTCGCTCCTTGTCGTCCTCCGACTGAGTGGACATAGCTTGGCAATGGCCCACCAAGCGGCAGCAGGCACGAAACTCCTCCAAACCAAGGCTCGCTCTCAGGTGAGGATTCGCTACCTGCCAGATTTCCCGCAGCGCCCGCCGCGGCAAACCAGATTGGGCTATGTAGTCTAATTGAGCGGATGCCAGCGGATCCATGCCGTTCTCGTTTGGACCACACACCAAACCCTCCAGTTCTGCGAACAGCGAGTCGTAGAGCTGAACCTCTTCTGGGGCCCAGTTGGTCGGCAAGCTGGTGCCAAAAAAGCCAGAAGCCGGTTTGGTAGTGGCGCGCTTGCTATCGAGAGTGCTGCCAGCACTTGGCATTGGCGAACCAGGTGCTCTCGACACCCAGCGGAGCTCCGAATGACCCAGCGCCAACGACTTCCTGCAGTTGAATTCATCAGCCGCAACAAGTCAATCAATCATAAAAACAGGCCCGTTCTTATTTGATCTGCCAATTGGAGGAAAGCACGAGCAATGTGCCGAGCAGCTTGCTCCACTCGTTAGCCCGCGCGTTCGGAAGCTGAAACGCGATGGTCACTTCTGTCCTTGCTGTCGCAGGGTTGCGTGGATGCCACACATGCAAATCGAGTTTGCAACATATTTATGGATCGCATGCATCGCTTACGACTGCGCCAGTGCATTCCAAGTTGCCTGCTAACTTTCTCAACGAACCCCGGGCACCATCCTTGCGTTCCAGTGATGTTGATCAGCTTTGAGGCAGTTGATCAATGTTGATCATAGTTGATCAGATTTCAGGCAAATAGGCTGCTGCCAAGCTTCGCTGCACCGAATTGCTGAACACTTCAACCTTCTCACCCACGCGTGGTTTTGCGCAAGGGAGCTCAGCTTCCTTGGTCACGTGCAGGCGCGAGGCAGCCATAGCACCCGACAGCTCATCTGCATATGACATGGATGACATGGGTTCAGCAACGGTGCCTTTGAAACCTAATCTTTAAGCTTGCCTTTTGCGTGGACTTTTGCTGTTTCTCTGAAGGTGCTGATTCAATGCATGTGCCGAATGCTGACACATTGCCACCTCCCACGCCCTCCACTGAGCGTGCGGCAGGACTTCCACTGACAGTAATTGTAGGTGGCACATGTCGCACCTCTTTAGTGCGGTGATGGTAGTAGTAACCTCACGTCATAGCTCAAGTCGCTGTTCGCTGATCGATCTGCGAAGTTTGAGCGTCTGGCGATTGCCCTCGGGTGTGGTTGTAGATCTCCAGCCTTGTGGGCCGCCACCCTCCAACTGTTTTGTGTCGAGGGGGGGACGTCCCCAGCAATGGCTGTGGTCGGAGCCTTTCCCCAAAAGCAAATAAACCTGCTGATCTGTCACAGGATGCGGGCACGAGCTCCTCCCGAACTCGGGAGTCTGTCTATGCTTCGTGGCGGGGGATTAGCTCAGCGTTGGCACGCTCCAGTGGTCTCGCCGGCTTGGCTTGACATGGCAACGTGTCCGAATTACTCTTGAGCGCTTGGAACATGCCGTCTGAAGCTGCAATCAAACGACGCAGCCTTGCGTGCGTGCTTTCAACCCGCCTGTTGGGCTCGGGTCTTCTGCCTCTGTGCCTCGCTCCGTTGGGTTGTCGGGTGCCGAGGCGACCTAAGCTTTTGAGGTCGAGCACGCTTTCCGGCTGAGCGAACGGCTCAAATTTCGGATGGGCTTAGAGGCTTAGAGAGTTGCTTAAGATTGGTCAGAAGCAGAAGCACTTGTATCATTTCACACTTGACTGAAACAGATTGCGGCGGGGCACTTTGCTGGCCAGGCCGGACCTGTAGCTGGGCTCGAACCTCAGCTCCTGCACCGAGCTTTTGAAGCGAAGGCCGCCTTCTCCCAGGCCGCTCCCTGCGATGCACTAGCACCACATGAGGCATGCACGCGCACGTGCGGCCAAGGTGCGGATCTTTTCCAGTTCCATCCTTGCCAGGGGCAAAGGTGCCGTGCAGCGCACGCAGTATGCCAAGGTTGAGTCAAGTATTTCAAGCAAGCATCCTCACTTGGCCAGCATCTTGCAACAATCTGGAGGGCTGATCATGGGCGAGTTGGGCAACTTCTGGCGACATCATGGCCAGCAACTCATCCTTACAGGTCAGACTGTCCCAGCTGCCAAGGAATTGCCAATGAAGAGGGTACAGTGCGTGTTTTGGGTCTATAGGGTGGTAGGGCACGCAAGCGCAAATGCCAGAGAAATCCGATTATCAGAATAGCTTCATTTAGCTGCTGGCCTTTGGCTATGCATATTAAAAACCTCACCGGCCGGGTGGCATTCTGCATGCCCAACGCAGCCTGCTGCTCGGAACTGAGGCTCAGCAGCTCCTGGACTACCTGGGCTACCAACGTGCATCAGGTTAGTTAGGCGGGTCTCCGTTCCCAAACGAACACATGCACACCCGTCAAAAGCAAATGATCACAAAGAAACAAACAGTCTGAGAAACTAACATATAAACTAGTTTTAGACCCACCAACAGGCCAAACCAAATCAAACAAAAAGAACACTAGAAAAAGAAGCACACACTAACGAAATGACAAGCAAACGAACGAGCAAGCAAGCAACAAACAAACAGAAAGACAGAAGCCAGAAAGACAGAAAGACAGACGAACGCACAAAGAGACAAACAAGCAAGCAACCAAACAAACCAAGCAAACCAACACAACCCAAACCAAACTTCGCAAAACAACAAGCCAACAATCTGAGACACTAACATACAAACCGACTAAGAAGCCAAACAAAGAAACGCACACACACACACACAAACCAGACCAGACCAAATTAAACCAATAAACAAACGAACAAGCAAACAAACAAGCCATCCATCAGAACGAATGAATAAAACCCAGAATGGGCAAACCACTGCTTGTGTAAGTGTCCGTGTTGTCCCACCCTTTCGCTGCAACCAAGGGTGCTAAACCGCCGTCGCCGTTGGGCCGCAAGTGCTGGAGCCACTCGTCGGAGCTGAGGAGAATATTGAACACCTGTACGTGGCAAAAGCTCTCAGAACCATGGAGCTGCCCCTCTCAAAGCGGGGTGTTGCGGGCTGGCACTCAAAATCGGCCCTTACCACCTGCCCACCCGGTGAAATTACAACTCCAGCCAGGCCTCCGCCACTTGCAAAAGGTGGTCTGGTCTCTTCATGACAAAGCCCAGGAGAAAGTGAAGGACTTGTCCTCCGCAGCTTGAGTCTTGAGTTTTGCATTATCTTCAGCATGCAATGCCTACTTTGGCAATAGTGGGGATGCAGCGACGTCATTTCCACAAGACTTTCCAAAAGCCTCGCATTTGTTCCGTCACATGTTGAAGTTCCCGCAATGTCCAAAACCAGACCATTCATCTGTTGCTTGCAATCAGTAAGGCCAGAACCGCTGGCCAACTGTCAAGGAAATGTGTGTGCAATCACCGCCCTGAGAAGTACCAGCCTGGACAATGCGCAAAAAGTTGAGAATGGGCGGAGCGAAAGCTCGCACAGCAAAGCATACATCCCGACGGGGCGGGAATCGAAATCCTTGCCACGCCCGAACAAAATGCAACATGCGCCCGCGGACTAGAACTTGATGGGGAATGGGTAACCCAGCCTCTTCGAGGCCAGCTTGCGGGATGTTTTTAGTTTTTGCATCTGACCAAACCCTCTCCTGCATAATCCGCGGCCCTGCATAGGACACTTGGCGCCCGCAAGGACTTCAAACAGCCCCTCCTTGGCGCATGCGACGCAACCGTTCTTGTGGCAAAGCACCCGTGCAACAAAGCCAGTGACAGCTGGCGGGAGAAGGGCGCAAACGCGTCCTTTAGCAGTGGGAAGCTGGGAAGGGCAAAGCAAAAGGTCGGGTCAGAGCAGGCGAGGTTCTTCAGCAGCACCACTATTGATCCACCATCTTTGCGAGGTCCGTGAGCAGGGCTCGAGGACGCTCCATGTGCCAACCTCGGTCTTCCCTTTTTGGTGTCTGCGCAAAGTCGTCCGCTAGAAGCCCCCCGTATTTGACTTGCTCGAATTGCAAGTTTGGACAAAACTGTATTCCCGTACTACCACAAAAGCAGAAGTCGCCTTGTGAAAATGGAAGGCAAGACACACCGCGTTGATCGCTTCCATCAACGCAGTCTCCGCAGAAGCTTGTTGACCATCTCGCCCGCGGGTCGGCACTAAACCTGTTATGAAAATATGTCCATGTCAAGCCTCAAAGCCATCAACGCCAAACAATTGTCACTGTCCCTGTCACTTCACTAAACCTGCAAGCTTAAACAGCTGCTGAGCGTCAAGAAGTGGATGCTGCCCATCCGCTTTGGCCCTGAGGTTGGGTGCGCGTTCTGACACGCAAGCAACACTTGTACCAGCCACAAGTGGCTGAGCATAGCAAGCCAAGACTCTAAAGGAAGTCGGTCATTGTTAATTTCGTCCATGGTGGCAGCCCTCTACGTGGGCCATGCGAAGTCACAGGCGAAATTGGTTTGGCTGATCTTCTCTGCTTCGCCCTCTGTGATTTGTGATGGCTGAGCTGTGGTCATGACTGGCACGCGCCATCGCATACAAACCATGCACCTTACAGCAATTTTGCACCTTGCACCTTGCACATAGATGCACATAGCACTTTTTGGGCCAAAGCGCTCGGAAAGCAAACTGTGCGCCTGTTCACCTCCACTCAAACAGCCGATCCTTTGATTGGTCCCGCTATGGGCAAACCCCGCCCCAAGCCAGGTCGTTTCAGCCAGAGTTTGCCTGACACATTTGCTTGGAAAGATTTGAAACGCCATCTTGACGTCGATGACGAACAGTTATTTGTGTTGAAGCGTCGGCTTCAACCCAGGCCCCAATACTTCTTTTAGAATAAAAAACACACTGTCTGATGCCTCCGCCCAGACCAGCCCCAGCCTTAAAAGGAGGCTCCTTCAACCCAATAGCATACTGACCTTTTACTAATTTACATTGATTTCTTGAATTGTAATTCTGAGATTAAACTGCGCCCTTTACTCTTGAACCGCAAAAACGAAAAAACATAACTTGGACGGTTTTATTTAAGTTCGCCACTCGGAAAATTACGGTTTTGAGGTTTTCGTGTCCGGGAACGGGGGAGGGGGAGCGCATTTGGATGATGCAATGATGACCAAGGAGGAAATCCGGCCGGACTGTATTAATAAATAGGTTTTGTCCCCCAGGATGGATTTATTTTTTAGGAGGTCCGCGTTTATTGGATTAGTTAATGCGTGGTAAGTAGACAGCTTGATCAAGCTCTCCGTCGCTGCTGAATGGGATGCTGCGCGAGCATCGGCAGGGGCTGTCGAAACCCGTTTCACTTCTGTATTCACCCGGATTTCACAGCATGGCTGCTTAGAAAGTGTGAACTAGTTCTTTGAGACACCACCTTGAAGGCTCAAAGGACAAGAGTAACCGCGTGAGCAGGTCCCAGAAGACAACTTCTTTAAACATGCGGAGTGTGTGGCGTGGAAAACGCTGAGAGTGTCTGTTCTTTACGAACCCAGAAAAAAGCAGTGTCTCCAAAAATATAATATTGAACGCCAAAGATAGCGAACACATATTCCGCTTCCTGACTTCTTGGCAGCAGGGCAAATTGCACCCCCAGAATGGCGTCAACAAACAAATAAACGACAGATCGAGAAGCCAAATTAAACACCGCGGTTTCTGTCCACCAGGCCGCGTTGTCGTTTGCGGGAGCGAGCGTGAAGTCGCGGCGTGTTTCTGCAGCCGAAGCAGCAGAAGCCAAGGTAGCCCACCACCTGCTCAAAGCGCGGGCCGTGCGCCCGAAGCGTCTTCATTTACTGTTGCGCAACTTCGCCCGCCGCCCGTTCCACGCCCCGGCGCTCGGCCCGCGCGTAGCGCAGCTGGGGTACCTGGCGGTGCGCGGCCTCCGTCAGTCACGTCGTCCAAGTGCCGCTGCCCCTCCTGCGCCTGCCTGCGCTCGCCTAGCCAGTTGTTGAAGGCCCGCGCCTCCTCCAGTTCTCGGTAGCGCTTCAGCAGCAGCGGCTGCAAGTTGTAACTGGGGTACGTCCTGCGGAACCGGGGGGGGGGGTGCCGTTCAGTTCAAGCCTGCGCGGGGCGACGGTGCCACTTAGGGGGAGGGGTTCCACCTGAGTGCCAATTGGACACGGTTTTTGGCCTGCCATGGATGAACCAGATAGATGGCCATCTCGACCAATCATGGAACAATGGTACACCTTGAACATTCGGGGCACACAGAGGATTGCAGTCAAGGACTCATTGCTTGATAATACACTTTGGTATGGAGCTGCCATCAGGCATGATCGCCCTCGAGCTGCAATTGTCAGATGTATTTGTGCAACCCACAGAGATTCTCTTTACACGGAATTTTCAGCTGAAATCATGAAGTACGGACCGCACGGCAGACTCCATGGTTTCATGACATGTTCGGTATTGATTCCTAAAAGGTATCTGGGTGGATTGACAGAAGAATTTGTTGTAACCGTGACCCATGCTTTCTTTCAGGATGCTGAACAACGAACCCTGCGCGTTGACATCGAACAAGGAGGTTGCTTTTTGAGACCATGCCTGCAGAAGCCCAGCTGTGCCGTTGACCTTTTTGCAGGATTAGGCGGATGGGCCCTTGGCCAAGATTGGGCAATCGAAGCAACTGGTGGACAATCGCCCCCAATCACAATTAGCATCGAATACAGTAGAGACACTGCAAAGGCTTCATCCGACCTCTTTGAGGGAACCTTTTGGGACCTTGGTTCATTTTTGACCGAAACCCGAGTGCAGTTCGATCGAGGACATCACTTCATCAACGCAAAAGTAGGAGACAGGAAGGTTCAACAGAAGCTGGCACTATGGAATTTGGCAGTAGCTGTTGCTAGCCCGTCATGTCAACCATGGTCTTCGGCGAGCAGTCAGCATGGTCTGTCAGCGGAATTGGGCTTCAATTTTTGCGAGCTCAACAACTTTGTGTGTGCAATTCAACCTTGCCTGATCGCCCTGGAGAATGTCAGGGGATTATTGAACCACCCGCATTTCGGATTGATTGTCAAGATCCTCGAGCATAATGGCTTGAGGTTGGTATATCAGGAGATCCAGACCACCCGCAAATGGCTCCCAACCGAAAGAACACGATTGCTGTGCATTTTCAAACGCTTGGATTGGAATTGCCCTTATGAGAAGATTCAGATGCTACACCAGCTTTCCATGCCTTGGAATGAGCAGACCGAGAATATTCTTCGCTATTTGGATGAGGACGCACGGGACGAGAGCATCTTGAAGCCCACGAATCAGGAACTGCTCAATTTGGCCAATCCCCAGTATTTTGCAGGAGCTCAGGGTTGCATGAACCCTCTCAAGGTCCTTGCAGCCAGGAATGTCGCTACCAAAAAACACTTTGGACCAATCATGGCCAGTTACAGAACGAACGCAAACTTTCAGGAATCCTTCTTGAAAGACCATAAGCTGCTGGCAGACATCAAATGCATCAATGGGAAGTACCTTTTCTTGCACCCCATTGAAATCGCAGCAGCCCTGGGGATGCCTAAGGAGGTCAGAAGGAAGAGTTTCGCGATTCCGGATGAGCCCACTGAGGCCTTTCGACTTTTGGGCAACATGTATGTTCCTTTTCAATCAGGTCAGGCATGGATTAAGATCAATTTCCTGATCAATCCGGAAAGCACATACGTCTGTATGAAAGAAGTCGCGAAGCTTTGGAAAACGTGCATGATTGACTTCACAGACTGCAGAATCAGGCATATTGACCATGTCTTCTCGGTCGAACCCAGAACTGCTGATGCCACCGATGAGTGTGTACCGACGCAGAAATTTGCATGCTGGAAGGGAACGTCAAGGCTGGTGTATGATGCATCCATCGATGACGAGGCTCTGCACACGCATATTTGCTCATGTGGATCACCCAAATCCTCTGAATGCGCCTTGAACACAGGACGAATCGCAGTTTCAGGAGCCGATGCAACCGACACCGAGGCCATCACTTTCCTCTTCCAGGAGCGAACTGTAGTTGTGAACCGACGAAACATCCCATCCTGCACCTTTGAATTTGGAGCGTTCTTTGGAAGATCAATCTCAGATGAAACGATTGCTGCTCTCAATGCTGAAACCATTGCATGCAAGACCATCAGTGCGAGCCTTGTCTTGTATCCGAATCAGCAGCTACCTGGAATCGTCCTCGTGACCCCCACTATTCAACCAGCGCGTGAGCTCAGAGAGGATGTCATTTTTGGAAAAGGAGAAGATTGCATCAATGTGACATGCAAGAGGCAAAATCCCGAGAAGACTCACTGCGTTTTGCAAGAACTGAGAGTCATTGAACTTGCCGAGCTGTCAGGTTGGTCCTTTCAGACAATGTGCGATCCGTACGAAATCAGTATCCAGCAACTCCAGATCCGCCCGAAACTCAGAAGCTGGTCTTTGCAACACGATGAGTTTGAATATATTCTGCAAATCCATATGTGGACCGCTGTATGTGGAACCTTTGCGAAGAACCAATCAATCAGAGGGCATTGCGTTGACTTTTTGGGGCATGAGACTCAGATTGCGTTTGACAATGATGCTGTGCTGATTGCTTGCGTGCAGACATTCAATCGAATTTTCCCCCACCACCAGCCCGTTTGCATTGTTGATCTGAATGAAGAGAAGCGCAAATGGGCAATTGTTCGAGATGCAACAGCTCCAACCATCAGTTTGCAGAATGGGACTCCGTGCAGGGAGATTACCATCAGCCGCAACAGATCAAATGTGCAACATCTTACAGCAGGACCACAGATTGTGCATTTTCGTGAGAAAGAAGGCTGCCTTCGGTCGAGACTGTATGACGAGAGGGGGCGCAACGACATGCAAAAGCTCGAAGATGCAAATATCCTTCTTGCACTCAATGAGAAGACGATCCCAATCAGGCTTGACCAAGGAATGAGTGGAGAGTTGACTGCTATCATTGCAGGAACTTACCATGTTGGCCGGACCCAGATTCTTGTTCTTGATGAGCTTGCAAATTCTTACCTTCTTGGATTCGCCCAAATATGGAGGAGGCTGTCCCCAAAGCCGTTGGTTACCTGCACACTCGTGTGGGTGTCAGGTCTTCAGACCACTTTCACTGTGCCAGCAGACACCTCCGTTGACCACATCCACCTAGCGTGGAAGTTTGCAAACAAGTGGTTTGGTATTGAAAGCGAAGTGCGTTTTGTGCTTGGAGGAAAGCAGATCATGCCCCAGGTAACTTTCGGGGAAATCGGCACCGGCAGCTTGAAGATCCACGCAATACTCCCATTGCAGGGAGGAGGCGCCAAGACAGACAGGAACACTGCATTCAAGAATAATCTTGCTCGCTGGATGTTGCTTGAAGGAGTTACTCTTGACAAGGTAACAACTGTTCTTGACAACATTCAGAAGAAAGCCGGAAACCAGCAGCTCTCCTTCCTTGATCAGCAGGAAGGGTCAAAGCGGTGGGAGCACCTCCAGCGGCTCTG